CAAGTTTCTCGTCGTCGATGGTTGTGGGGGTTGGACACTACGTTTGTTAAGTTTAATTTTACCGCCACTTAATAAATAATATTTGATTTCAGAACGAACAACGTCCTCCTCTTGTGGTCAACAGCTACAATAAATAAGCTGCTATATATTTGATGTGGTGTAGAAAACTGTTATAACGCTAATTTCAGTTGTAGAAAAATGATCTTTAGTATATCTTTTTTAGTGAAGAATCGTGACCACTAGATGGCAGGTGTTTCTTCTTCTTTGAACGTACTGTTATAATCAAAACGCATACACCTATTCATTTACCTAAAATATAGCATAGTTGTTTAGCATTTTTAAAACATTAGAAATTTTAGATCTGCTAGATTAAAGAAAATTTTGCCAAATTCATGACAGAAAAGCTTCCTAGGTCAGACCTAAAAGCGCTCTTCATCAGTATTCAGCTCCTTATTTAATTCAATTGGCAGGTAAGAATAAGAATGACATTTTGCAACTTATCCCTTAAGAGGGTACGGCATCCTCATTAAGTTGACCTTCTTTTTTGTCGGCGGCCTAGTGCAGATGTAAGGTTCTACTTTTCTCTACAGCATTAATATTAACACAGATTTTAGTCTTTAAATCTGTGATATTAATTAATTATTATAAAAGCTGCTGTATTACATGTACACTGAGATTTTAACATAGGTACCGCTATTTTATCTTAAGTTCTGCAATCGCCCATCCTAAATATTAACCGCGCACTAAGCTGCTAGATAGTTTTTTAACTTTGATTTTTTTCTCCGCTTTTTTATAATAAAATGCAGCATAATTTCGTTGTACAGAAAAAATGAAGGAATTTTTGTAGGTTGTACACAGCAAATAAGCTCTTTAGAATCATTTAATAAAAATTTTACGACGGGAAGAGGCGATTCCTGCTACCTGTCTGTTCTACTTTATTCATATGGAGAGCCCGACCAGACAGCACTAGGCACACCTTAGGCCCATTGTGCATACTTCCTTTCGCTGATTCACCCTCCCAGACTCCAGATAACTGTTACCGATAGGTACATCTGCACGTGGGCTCCTCCACACGTCCAATGTTATGCAGGTGATAGTTGACCATCCAGTGGACACCGGTGATTTTTCTGATCTGGCTTCTATTTAGTTTTAGAAGCTTAGAAGTCATCCCAGCCACTTAGCCGAGATTCCGAGCCTCTGCGTAAATCCTCTAGTGACTGAGGAGTTCATCTCGGTCGTCCCGATGAAGGACCCTGATTCTGTTTCCGAGCGTGGCGCGGATCCATCTTGCGATTGATTCATCAATGCCAAAGTTTTCAGTAGCATCACTAATGGAATCGAACGTGGTGTTTTAAACGCATCCTCACATCTAGGAACGCTTCCAGGGCTACCTCCCCAGCAGGCATTCTCCTCTCCAGCCTGCACACGAGGCTGTGAAGAGCCGTCTCCGTGGACATACCAGCCCTGTAAGCATGTTGAAATAGATGTACCAGCTTCTTCACCGTTTTTACAGAAACGATGATTGGCTGATGCGCCTGTAACCCTTCTCCATGTGATATTTCGCAGGATCCGGCTTTTACCTTCCTCCAGCAACAGAGGATATATAAATCCAGGGAGGATCTGAAGAACTGCAACAAATACAAGAGCAGCGGTTCCAGGCCCTTCTGCAGATTAGCCGGGATTATCATGTCCGGTCCTGCACTCTCTGAACGTGTTAACCGCCCATCTTCTTAGTTAGAGGCCATTGTCGTATTTTTGCTGTACCTCTTACATTTTTAATGCTGCTCTTAGATGCAACACATCCGAATACGTGGAAACTAGCTTATATTTGTCCTGTACTCAAGAGCGTAAACTAAAAAGATGTCACTAACTATCGACATATCAGCGTTTTATCTAATTTTGGTTTTTGAGATTCTAGAATTTTTCCATGCGTTAAAAACTTATTATCTACCGCTCAACCTGGCTTTGTTGAACAAAGATCTACAGTGACTAATCTTACGTCGATTACCAATTTTATGGCTACAGTACTACGTTGTCTACACAGACTTTGCCAAAACCTTTGATAGTATTCCTCACGATTTGCCTCATACTTGTCGGAGTTACATATAATAATTTTATATCCTCTTCTGCTAGAGTGACCTCTAGTAAAGAGTACCACAAGGGACCTTTGTTGTTTTATCATATAATACTTGGCTACAACATCAATGGTACTTGCTTGGACAGACAAACTGTCGTTAAAGACCTCGGAGTTTATTTCGACAGTCAACTGAATTTTTCCTACCTACCATCTTAATGAGCTATCTCACTCGTCTATGTCGATGCTTGGCTCCTTAATACGTTGTCGTAGATCAATTTCTAACCTGGCGTCCCTAAAACTATTATTCTTTGCATTAGTACGTTCTAGACTTGAATTGTTCGCTAATCTGGAACCCAACTTACCAAACTCAGACTCATATGGTCAAAATTGTCCAGCGTAGATTTATCAAATTTCTAGCATACAAGCTGTTTACCCACCTAGAGGATATAGTAATAGCCTTTGCTGCAATGTTTTCAAATTTTATCATTATAACAGACGAAAGTTGCCGGGGTCTAACATTTCTTTACAAACAAATACATGATAAGATCGATTGCCCTGACCTAGTCGCTTTTCTTTTCTTTTATGTTCCACCTTATTTTTCCCGTAGTAATTCCACCTTCTTTGTTCCAACACTTAATACCAATTCGTTGTTTAAATCTCCTATACATTACTCTGTAAATTTGTTTAATATATGCCTACTGCATCTCGCCTAAATAATTACTATAAAAAGTTAGTTAGTTAGTTACCTGGATAGTTGCGTTTTGGTATTTTAATTTTGTCAATCAATAATTTTATAAAATAAAACATTCAAGAAGTTTATTTTAATCGTTGCTACATATCATTCGCAACAAATAAATTACCTAGATTGGCAGATATAAATTTCAATTCCCTAAGGACTAAATGATATCTTAGCGCTCTTGGACTAAGTTTAGTTATTTACTTTAGAATTAATTATAAAGGGTGTTTCATAATTGAATGTCAATATTTAAGGGGGCAATTTTTGGGTCCAGTTTAAAAAGAAAACTTCATATGAACCTATGTCATAAACGTCTTAACTTTTGAGATACAGGGTGGTAAAGTTTTCAAAAATAAATCATTTATTATTATTTCTTAGTATCTGTAATACCACTTAAGATATTTTAATGAAATTTGGAATGTATGTACTATGTATCCAGACGCATTTATTAACGTACTAAATTTTTTTAATTTCCACCAGTGGCGTTCGTACGGAATTTCACATGCCCATTTTGGCAGACATTGATGGTACGCCACTGATTTCTCTGAAAATAAAAATTATTCTTGAAATCCCCAATTCCCCATTTCTAAGCAAATTTGATCTCTTTGTTTTTTTCAATCCGATGCACGGTTTTCGCTTAAAAAAACCGTTTCTCTGCATGATCATGACAATATCGTTAATATAACAATATCACAGTGCAGAGAAAAAAATATTTTCTTTTTTTACGTGAAAACTGTATGTCGGATTGAAAAAAGTTAAATGATCAAATCTGCCCATGTGAGTGAGATCACCAAATTTGCATGTAAGACTAGCGGCTTCAAATTGCTCAGTGGTGGATATCTTTAAGAATATTTCCATTCAAATTTCACTAAAAATTAAAACAATAATCTTTACTCCAAATGCAATATAGTTTAGGGTAGATATTAATTTTATTATTAATTTATTAATTTATTATTACGTAATTATTCCTTGGCATTTCCCGATCGACAACTTTTCTGGAGCTTTTTCTGGATTAACTGTCAGACGACTGTCGTGATCTTTCCTTTCAATGCAATTTCTGGTAAAATAGTCCACGTTTTTTAAACAATTGGAATTGCTATCCCGACGGAGGCAAAGGAGGAAGAGGTTATCCCTCAGCACTAAAATTCCGTCTCGTCTTCTCTTCGCAGTTGTAATCAAATAGCACTAATTCAGATAGCTGAATATGATGCAAATTCCCGACATCTCGTCGCTGAAGTTTCCGAAGGCTATAAAAAACAATGTTTTAATAGAAATCAAATGCCGCAGAAAAGACTAGAAGTACAACTATAGATTTCGATACCCTATAAATTGTTTATGATATGTAATGTTCAAACTACTCAAACTCCCTAAGCTAAAAAAATTCCAACTCTACCTAAACGCAGATTGAATGTAGACTGTGTTTCTCGTGCACGGTGCACCATTTTTTCGGAAAGAGTAAAACAGAAAACAAGTATAAATTGTGAAACTGAAATAGCTTAGCTTAGCCAATGGTTGGGTGATAACGTAGCGAAATGCTCTAGTTATAAATGTTTACTTTCTTGGTAGATGATTAATGGGGAGGGGGCCTTTTGCACATAAACATTTAAAGGCCGCCTGGGCTACATTCATCTACGTTATATCATGCTAGAAAAATCAGTCCCTTAAAGAAATTCTGCAAAATATTGCATTTCCCCCTTTACATCTCCGGTAGATTTGTCTGGTCGAGATGATCTTTCCGCCGTTGAGTACCCCCTCCGACACTCCGTTCTGCAGACAATTGCATGTAAAGTTTTGACATCACCAGTAAATATGTCTCGTCTTGACGTTCCACTTGCTCTTTATGAGTATCCTCTTCCGACACTTCGTTTTCAAGCGATTCGATTTCACTTCACTTGTCGATATGTCTCGTCCAGGCGCTTGATTCATTTTGCCTTTGTGAGGATTCTACTCTCAACAAACCGTTTTCGAGTATTCGCTCATCATCAATGGATACACAAGGTTATCATAAAGTACACTTACCCTTATAATGACCCCATATTTCTTCCAAACGTCCCAATCGCCCTTTGTGTGTACCCTCCCCCGACAATCCGTTCTTGAGATATAAGGGAACATACCCGATCACGATTGAGATGTAACAATCCGTTGCTAGGAAGTTATCGTTACTATAACGACTGAAGATACATTTTATATGACATGTCTCAAAATCCCAATGTCAAATCTGAAGGAATTACGGTTAACAAGTGCCATAAAATTGGCCGTAACTACGGAACAAGTACAGAACAGAGCGCAAAGTGTTTTCTGCAATACTGTTTTACAGACAGAGAAAACAATATTACTCAAAACGATATTATTGAAGCAACGATTGGCGATTTTGGTAGGTGGCAATGTAGAATGTCAACTTTGATGGCACTATTAAGATTTCCAACGGCATGGATACAATTAGGAATTGTGTTCTTGGCCCCTCCAACAGAGTTCTGGTGTAAACCACCCCGGGAGTATAAATTCATGGATGTTGACAAATGGAAGCAGTTAACTAATATACCTAACGATACCTTTAAAAGCCACGTGCGTAACGGTTGTACGGTTTCTTCAGGTTTAAACACCCGTCTCTTGCAGTCTACGTTAGAATATGGCAATTGTAAAATGTGGTATCCCGCCAATGGATCGGTTATACCGTGCATTTGGGGATACGCCTATAATAGGTCGGTGATTCATTCTAGCATTATAACCGAATGGAATCTAGTTTGTAACAAGTCACATTTAATTGAGTTTTCTCAGATAGTGCTTATGTTTGGGGTATTAATTGGTAAGTGCTAACTCTTTACCGCATAAGTAGAAGTTCACCACAGGAAGTATATGGCTTGGTTTGGCGGCTGATAAACTAGGACGCGCAAGAGTGTTAATGTTTGCAATAGTGTCTCAGTCGATATTTGGACTTTTAACCGGAATCCTTCCGTGGTTCAGCACGTTTTTGGTGTCCAGATTTTTTCTGGCCGTGGCAAATGGCGGTGTTTCGGTCATTTCATTCGTATTATGTATGGAAGTGGTGGGAGGCGCTTGGAGAACAATTGTTCCCATCCTTTATCATATTCCTTTTGGGTTAGGTACCTCAATGATGGCTTTTGCTGCATATTTTTTAAGAGACTGGCGATGTTTACAACTTACGCTGTTCGGTTTGAGCGCTTTGTATCTAAGTTATATATGGTGCGGTATCAATTGAGCCAAGTGCATTGAGTGGGACGTTTACAGGATGATCTCAGAGTCACCACGTTGGCTTTGGGTTGTTGGAAAAAAACAAGAAAGCATTGCAATATTGGAGAAAGCTGCTTGCGTTAATCAGTTGGATCTGATGCAACTTAAACTAGCTATTGATAGCATACACGGTTCTCCTCCAGTTAAATATACAAATGAGGAGTTGGGTTTGAGAATGCTTTTCAAAACACCGGAATTGAGAAGTCGAACTATAAAATTATGCTTAAGTAGGTAAGATGTTATAAGCGTAATAAAATTAGTCAATGAGCGCTAAAATTCGTTGCAGTGTAATTTCTGGAATGAATTTCCTCGGTTTCTCGGAATATCTCGGCCAAATTAGCGCAAACATTTATCTAGGGGTAGCAATTGGAGGAATTGCAGTCATTCCTGGATCGTTTACATGTATATACGTTATTAATCGGTATGGACGTACAATGAGTATTTCATGTGCCGCATGTTTCATTGGTATGTGCTTCTTTGGAATATGCTTTTTTCCTTTGGATGTTTATAAAAATGATTGGCCTCGAATACTATTGTCCGGGAGCGGCTTCTTCGGAATGTCAGTAAGTGAAACACACAAAGTTTTGGTGAAAATTAGAGGAGACTTTTTCTTAGATAGCGTATCCCGCCCTATGTTTGTTTACCGGCGAACTTTTTCCAACGATATTACGAAACGCAGGATTGGGAACAACCGTTATGTTTTCCAAGTTGGGCTCAATGATCGCACCTATCGTGCTACAAAGCGGGGAATATGCAACTTTTGTTCCATTATTAATATTGGGATCAACTTCATTTATTCAAGCTGCATTAGTACTACCTTTGCCAGACACACTAAATAAACGACTACCCGATACAATAGAGGACGTTGAAGAAATGCACGGCTACCAGAAGAATTGAGTTGCACTGAAAAGATATATCCTAATTTATATATTTATATGACGGCATTAAACAAGCAATATCTGAAAGAAAAGTTCCTTTTATCGGCATACTGAGATATAATGCACTTGTTATAAATATTGAATTCCAATAGCAGCTTCTGCCTTCCAGTTAAATGTGATTGAAGACATGAACAGATGGGAACACCCATAAAAAGCTCATTCCAACACTCCGTCTATACCTACTGATCAGACTTATGGACCAAAGACACGTGTTCCGTGGATTACTACAGAAACCACACGCACTGAATACATTACACCTATGAATAACACAAACATCACTACAACCGACATCACCCAAACTCACCCACACACTTATGGCCGTTTGCACCGACAAATTTAAGGGGAGCTATGTAATATTCATTGCAACGATTATTGAGACAATGGGCCGTATGAATAAAAGTAAGCAAATGCTTATACTTGCAAAATTCAAAGTAAATACTCCTAACTGCCCCTTCATACTGGTCTGTTTAGCATGGTTTAGCAGCGGTGCACTGCGTCCTGTCCTTCTGCTTAGAAGCGCTGCTAAGTCGCCCAGTGCGAAGGAGCACTTACGAGTATTTACTTTGAATTTTGCAAGTATAAGCATTTGCTTCCTTTTATTCATACGGCCCAATGGTTGTCATGGGTTTTAAGCTACGCTTAAGCTAAGCTCCGCTTAAATTTGTCGATGCAAACGGTCATTACATAACAGGAAAAATCCACAACAGTTTACTGAACTTCTTAAATTACCAGCCAGTACTGTTGATCGATGCGATCACAGTCAGCTTTTTACATAAGCAAATGGGGTAAATGTACTTTGGGTCCATGCCATGCCGATAAGTTTTCACCGGAACGACGGCCAGGTTGAAAAAAATAACGGAAAGTAATTCCGCCCCCAATACACACTACGTTTTATCAAAGAGTATCGTTACTCTTTGGTTTTATTAACGTTAAAGTTGGCCATTAACAGGTTGTATGCATGGGATTGAGTAATAGTTTTATTCACAGAAAGGAAAAATTTGTTTACCAAATCTTATTTCAGAGTTACGTACTCCAACCACCACAGTTAATGCCCTTATGTTCACCGTTACACATGTGAGTCTATTGTAACGAAAAAAGCCCAGCGCGTTTAATTAAACTGTCCTTGACCGAAGACGACTTCATTTTATGCGACGGGCATTTCACAGTGAAGGTTTTTACGTCGTTTGCTTACAGAATAATTCCCTTTTTAGTGACACAGTCACTTAATCACCTGTATCGACTGTAACTGTACTTTAAACTCGCGCAACATGCGTACCAATTAATATGTCGTACGTCGATTTTTTAAGATAGAGATGTATTATGTTCGAGAAACACAACCTTCGACCTTGATGAATTCAGCACTAATTTACTTATCGACGAGAACCACGCGATTATCCAGTGGTAGTTCCCTACCCGAATTACAATTTTATGTTCAGTTTCGGACGCGAGATAATCACAATTTTAATTTGGTAAACCAACTGGTCGCACTAATAAACGCGGATTTTTTAATTTGACTTTTCTTTAAAGATCACGCAGTGGTAGCAATCGTGACCCAGCCAATCAAAATATTTTATTATCAGGAACATTCTGGTTGCGTTGCGTGCTAACGAACGAATTTTCACTTTAAAACTAAACGGCTACATCTAAGGTGTTCAGTGTACCATCGGGGTGCCACAAGGGTCAAACTTGGGGCCATTGTTATTTATAATCTTAATTAATTAATGACTTGACCGAAGTAATCAAGTATATGCAAATGTTTTGCTGTTTGCAGATGATTTGAAGCTGAACTACCAAATAAAAGACTACTCGGATTGTCAAAAACTACAAGCTGATGTCGATTCCGTAGTGCAATCGAGTTCTAATAATTACTTACCCCTGAACATAGATAAATGTAAATGCTTACGTTTTTCTCGTAAGGCAGATGATATATTTCAGTACAACATTCAGGGAAGTGTATTAGAGGTTGTTAGCAATCACAAAGATCTGGGAGTGCTTTTTGATGCCAAATTGAAATTCGACCTACATATCCAGAATGTCATTAAGGCCGCGTACTCTAGCTTAGGATTTATCTTGCGATGTTCATATCGTTTTAGAAATAAAAAAACGTTTGGTGTTCTATATTATGCATTAGTGCGATCTAAGCTGGAATATGCAGCTATCATTTGGTCACCATATACGAAAAATCATATAAAGGCCATCGAAATGATTCAAAGCAAACTCTTACGCTGTCTTCACTTTAGACTTACGAGGGTGTACCCCCACTATGAACATTACGAATATTTAATAAACGTGTATAATTTTAAGAGACTAAGGACCGAATGCACAAACAATAAATAATCAGGCCGTTAGTTAATCGTATGATTAAATTAAACCTTTGATTAAGTGCGATTGGTATGCACAAAACAAAAAAAACTTCTTGATTAACTGACCAAGGTGATTAAGCGTTGATTATACATTTGGTAAAAATTGGCGCCGGCAACGTTGTACTTTTATGGAAATGTGTGATATTTTTGCAAAGCCTACTTTTTGAATTGGTATGTTTGTGTTAACAATGGAAAAAAAGATCCGTGGCCAAAACTTTACCGAAGTACAGAGAGAACATTTGGTTGAAATAATTGATTGAATCATAAGCAAATCTCGAAGCAAATATTACCTTCTTATTTAACTCGTAGTTACTTAGTGATTGTCCTGAGTTCGTTCAATAAAAGTTCCAGTTAAACTTACATTGAGTGCTTAATTTTATTGAAAGTGGAGCTTATTCCAACATATATTTTATTACAGTAGCTAAAATATCATAAATTAAGCACTGCCTCCTGATAAGTTTCTCACCTTTAGACCTCTCGATGCTGCATGCTTTCAGTCTTATATCAATTCCGAATACTAATTTTTTTCCAATTTAGTAAGGAACATATAAACTAGAATCCAGAGTGACGATCTCTCAGATACTTCCGCCATTTCTGAAACATAATTATATCAAGCTCATGAGAGTTCGTCACAGAAGATTTCATTTCCGAATGAATCGCCAAAAAAACCAGTAAGCAATTGAAGTACTTTTATGTCATCATAAAACGAAATGCCAGAAAAGCGGATGCATCGAGCAATGTAAGCAATGCTTAATGTTAAAATTATTGGTACGTTTTTAGAAAGAAGGTATCAAGGGCAATTAAAGAAGCTTTCGATAGAGAAATGTCGCAACAAAATATATAAAAGCTCCCAGAAGGGCCAGAAGAAGCTTTACTGGCCAAAAATCTTCCACACCTAATTGCTCTAAAACGGAGACCCCAAATCCAAAATAGGTCAATTTAGCAATTAAAAAAAAAACTACCAGCTTCAAAAGTGGAAGAATGCTCGACTGGAATACTTCATTCTCCTCATGGAGAAGAATTTTAGAAAACGCATTTACACGAGTCAATTAAAGAAATGAATATATAATCTTAATTAGTTATTTGTACAACTAGTTTTGAAAGTGATACTTTTTTTCATGAATTTGCAGTTCAGCAAATTCATGGAAAAAAGACACTTTCAACATGAAATTTTTTTGCATAATGATCTATAATAACCCACAACTGAATAATTTGATTGACATTCGCGATTTACTGTCACTCAAAAATGGATGCTATTGTTCATAGACAGGACGAAACTCCATGGAAAAAAAGTACCACTTTCCATACGATTTTTCGTTTAAAAAAGTCCGATAATTTAATCACTATGTAAAAAAATATTAGAATAGGCCTAATTATTCTATAAAAATTACTTTTCACAACCTCAAATCGAAAATTATGAACAAACTGTCAGTTTAATCGCGGTTTAACAGTTTTGTGCATTCGGTCCTAAGTGATCGAAGACGTAATATCTCATTAATATTTTTGTTCAAGCTTCTTGATTATCAGCTAAACTCTTCCTATCTGCTGTCTCTGATCAATATCAATATCTCCGATCATAGAACGAGAAGGAAATTCACAATGTTTGAAATCCCTAGCGTACGTTTAAAAACGCATGACAATTCACCGCATGATGACGTTGTACAATGATTTGCACAAAGTTCAAACGAACAACTTGCACTTGTTTGGCCTGTCTTTATCGCAATTTAAGAAAAAATTGGTTTTATGTTTATAGAAACATTATTTACTTACTTCACTTTGTTTTATCAGATAGTTACTTGTATACATATTTTTAGACACAATCATTGTTCCCAAAAGGTTATATCGTTGAGTGAACCTTCACTCAACGGTTATATGGAATATTATTTCTGTTGTTTTGAGCAAACACCTAAATAAATAAATACAATTCCACTAGTTGAACTGGGAAATCGGACTCTAGATTTTGATATCCTAAAGAATTTTTGTGATATGCAACGTTTCACATCGAAATTTCGAAAAAAATTAAATGCAAATTAATAACTACCGTTACAATTTAGCATAAAATAACTCCAGGACACAACCAGATCTCCTACAAGATGCTAGTTAAAGTGACACTTGAAATAAATATGTGTATAAACGCTAAACCCGGAAAGGAATCCTTTGTTCAGCTAGGTACCGCACAGTTGGTCTGACGTGTTGTGTGGGATTACTCTATGAATAGTCCAGTAAGAATAGATCAAAAAATGGCAAATAGGGGAACTAAATCATGTATTATTAACTCCTTCCATTCTTTCCATATAAATACAAGCTCATTAAATTTGCTACAACTTTGATTCTATACACTTTCTTTAAAAAAAAACCACCGTTTTTAAGTTTTTGACCCACCAAGATTGAATATGTGGACTATACACATGACCGTACTAGTCAACTCGATCCGCATAGCGGGATTTACCCTCAACAGCGGTGGGGTTGGGTGAGAGGAGAGGATCGAATGCTCCATCCCATCAAGACTAGCGACCCGCTAGCACCGGCCAATGTCTTAAGTTCCATCTTCTGCCGCTGCACAACTGGAATTTGATGCTGCCCGATGTGTGGGTGTCGTAAGACGGACATCAACTGCACTTCAGCTTGTGGATGTGAAAGTGCGTACTTTAACGGCCCACCGGTCCTCGAGGACGGCGATAAAGAAGACAACATCGACACATTCACTTTTTCGGACAGCGAAAATTAGTCTTAGATACTGTAAATAACTGATGTTACACATTGTATATAGCACGATCCACTTTCGAATTACTACCTCTCCTTTATGCAGTTACGATGAGGTTTCTTGGAGGGAAAAAACCAAAGGAAATCATGATGTAGGTATTGGTCTTATACTACATTGATATGTATAATCCACATATGAAAATATTCAATCTTGGATAGTCAATAACATAAAAACGATGCGTTTTTTCATAATTATGTATCCACTGAAAGTTTTAGCAAATTTAATAAGCTTTGATTTTTATGTACAAAATTTTTTATTATAGCGTACCTTTTCCATGTTGTAAGCAAACAACTATAAAATGGGACCTTCAAAGCCGCTCTCACTCTCCTCCCTCCTTTAGCACAGCAGGTAGTCGGGGGGACTTTACATTATGTTGATTAGGGAAACGTCCCTTACACAATTCCGAAGGACCTGATAATCATGAATTAGTTCTTTTATTTTTTCTATTCTGACTGGGCTAGAAAGTAGACAGGGAAAAACATTACACGTAAATCCTCCTTAATTAATATCACTGTATACTCGCGGCATTAATTAAACTCAATAATTAGTAGTTTTCCGATGTATTGATAAGCTATTGACACAATGTGAACTATTCATATCAATAGACATTTTCGGTCGAAGGACTGAAAAAACCGGCTAAAAATGTTACAGATAAAGAAATGTTACATTTTTAGAACGCATCCGGCTCCATCCCATATTCCCATTCTTTTTCAAAGAAATTGTAGGTATATTCCAAACAGTGAGTTTATTTACCTCGACAACAGGTACCTATAATATGTGAATTTCGCAATCGGACACTTCAGTAGTAAAAATTTAAAAACCTATCTACCCATTTCTTAGTTTTTCCGTTGATCAAAACATATTATGAAAACAAGTAGAATTGCTGTTTGGTGAAAAGAAAATGATTGCTTGCAAAATTTTTGAATCAATACGCAGATTAGAGAATATTCGATATGAGTGGCAGGATAGGAACATCCAATTTTTTCAAAATAGCGGCAGAATACGGCAACAGAAAATTCATAATGGAAAAGGGGGAGCAAACCTCGGTTAAAATCTCCCCCACTTAAAAATAAATGAAAATAAAAGTAAAAGAAGAAAGATTAAAGCATCTCCGGCGCTTCTACTTCCTGCAGAGGACCTAACCGGCGATTACTGCAGTTGTTCTAATTATGACGTTATAGTGTTGTTACATCATATTTTGTTTTATGTTCATGCGTCAAGAATATGGCAAAAGTATTAATTTTTTCAGCAAATGGCATAAGTAGGTCACCCTATGGTCACTATGAGGCAAAAACAAAAATGAACTGAAAGAGTCCTAATTTGAGGATTGTGCTTATCTGACCATTCTTGACTGCTCACGCATTTTGTGTATTGAATAATTAGCAACAATAAAAAATTATCATCTAAATAACACGTTTCGGATTGTTACGAAACTCCAATACCAAACAAATGTTGCCACATATTTACCTAAATAATCACATACTATATCGCTATAAATACTTTGTTGCTATGACTAATATACTGAATTGGCCGACCAGGGGGCTTTCAATCTCGCATCCATGGAAAGATACTAATGAAATCATTTAATACGTTATAAATAAGTTTATAATTAATTAATACTGGGCACACTTGAATTAGTATAGGTTGAGAAATTGTTAATCATTATCTACCAACCACACTGCGTTTCCCTCTTGTATCATTAATAGGGGGTCAAAAGATCATCTTTATCTAATCTCGGTGTGTAACATCTACTTTATGAGAAATCATTCCTTTAGTTACGGCTAAACGAGAACGAACGTATGTACATACTGCTGTAGTGTATGGTAACTCCCAAAATGCAAATCAAAAACGATCGCATTGAGAAAAACATTGACAAGGAAAATGGCAAAATAAACATTGAAAAGAAAACATATGGAACTAATGATAATGGTGGGTATTGCATTTGTAATCGAACTACTTTACCTACACTGAAATTGTAGACGTCGATGTGACCTCTCGTATTTCCAACACCGGAGATGTTTTGGATAACACCATTGGAGAATTCGGACGGTGGCAGTGCCAGATATCCATCATGATGTCCTTACTTCTGCTGCCCTTGGCATGGATTCAATTGGGAATGGTGTTTTTAGCACCACCAACTGAATTCACTTGCAAGCAACCCATTCTACCCGATGCCATAATTGAAAAATGGCCCCACATCATGAGCGGTAGTGACGTATGTCTTTTGTTTTATTTTACGACTTTTGCCTCCGGTCGCGATAAATGCACGCAAAATATTTCGCAAGATGTTACAGTTCACTTTGTAATCCTGCCTAGTATTTTTAGTAGACATCACGTTTTATTGAGTCATTATGCTGTTTATTAATATCAATCATATGAGCGTATATTTTGACATCCTTTTTTTAAAAAAACGCTATCAGAAGGATAATGTATAGCGTAAATATGCTGAGCCAGTTTCATGCCTAATTAAAAATGAAAGATCATAGAGTCCTTGGATAAATACAGTTTAACTATTTATCATGTTTTCCAAAACTTAGCAAAATTAAGTTTTCAATGGAACGCATTGTTGTAGATGAAACCAGGTTCGTGCCTAATTAAAGATCCTACATCTAAGAAAGGCGACTCTATGATTCCGTGTCCCTGGGGTTTTGAATACAGCGATTCGATAACAAATTCGAGTATTATAACCGAATGGGATTTGGTTTGTGAACGCGAACCTCTATTGAATCTCGCACAGTTGGCGATGCTGTTCGGAGTAATGAGCGGTAATTACATTGCGACTCTTGGATCAGAAAAACTGACCACTGCTTGCCTCCAGGTGGACTTCTGTTTGGAGCCGCTGCGGATAAATTGGGACGCAAACCAGTACTTTCCATATCAATCTTTTTGCAAACCATATTTGGGTTAATATCAGCCGTTATTCCGTGGTTTTACGGCTTCGTAACCTCCCAATTCCTCTTGGCGTTTGCAAATGGAGGCACAATGGTGACTTCGTTCGTAATCTGCATGGAGATTGTCGGATGCCAATGGAGAACCATCACTCCCATTTTATACCATATTTCGGCTGGTATCGGAAGCGCTATACTGGCTGCGATTGCATACTACGTAAGAGATTGGAGACAGTTACAATTGGCGCTTGGAATATTGGGCGCTATGTTTATCATTTATATTTGGTATGATGTAGTCAGACTTCTTCAAAGGCATTATCTTTTAATTACCGATATAGGACCGCAAGCGAATCACCTCGTTGGCTTTTGGCAGTTGGAAGAAGACGAGAGGCAACGGCGATCCTAGACAAGGCGACAGAAAGTAACGGTACAAATAAGACTTCGATCATAAAGATTCTGGAGGAATGGAGCCGTCTTAATGAAGAGAAGAACACGCAAGTTGGCCTATTGGCTTTCGTTACTAATTCTGAGCTGTTGAAACGCATCTTTTTGCTGGGTGTCAATTGGTGAGCAAGTCGTCGCTTAGAATTTATGAATACGTATTGTTTTAGCTTGATTTCCGATTTGTGCTTTTATGGATTCTCTCAGCACATTGGACAGTTCTTCGATAGCATCTATATGTCCGTTGCGTTACAAGGACTGTTATACTCGATCAGTGGAATTGTTGCGATTGTTGTTGTAAACAGAAATGGTAGACGTCAAAGTATTGCTATATCAAGCTGCTTCACTGGACTATGCTTTTTCGCACTTCTATTCGTGTCACCTAATGATTGGGTTAATGTCTTATTCGCCATGACTGGTTTGATTGGTATGGCTGTAAGTATAAATAAGCGTTGGGTGATGGGCGTTGGGCAATGGCCAGTTTGTAGGTATCGCATCCAGTGTTGTATCTTCTTAGTGGAGAGCTATTCCCGACTACAATAAGGGCATCTGCTGTAGGCATTTGCATAACGTTTAGTAAAGTAGGCGCGCTATTGGCCTCTACTGTTCTTTATACAGGTGAAGCTGGGTGGTACATACCGTTGATAATCTTTGGTTGTTTATCATTCTTTCAAATCTTACTGACTGTTCCTTTGCCAGAAACCAACAACTTTGATTTGCCGGAAGACCTGGAGGAAATCAGGGCAGAGAGAAAGTAAGAAAAGTTTATGACTTTTTAATGGGTAACTAAAGATTTCTTTAATTTTAGGTCAGTCGCATAAACTGTTTTATCTGCATTTATAATTTTTTATTTTGTCATATTTTAAAGGGACAGCTATTACGATTGGTGCGATATGATGTAGGTATGTTGAGTCAATGGTGCTTTTAAATTTACATTTCTCGAATGACTTATTAAGACTTTGTAAAATTAATAATGTGTAATACTGTGTAATAAATTGCATGTGTTTTATGTCGTCAGCTCCTCTCAAATCAAGTTTCGTCCTGAATTTTCCTTTTGTTCTCAGTGCCCAAAAGCCGAATACTGGTTATTCATACAGATAAATGTAAATTGTACTGGTGATTATTACCTACACTCCATTAATATACGACCAATCAGCTTTGTGGTTGTTTCAAATTCTAACGAATCAGACGATTTATCTAATTAAAAGCTAGGCAGCTTTTGATCAGCGATAAAAATGCGCGTAGGAATCCGTAAAATATATAGCGGTTGTAAAATTTGCTGTCTTTTATTAATCTCCCTAAAATACACTCGATCTTGGTTCTAAATCAGGATAATTTTATTTTTAATTCACTTAAATTTTGTTGCCTCCTGGAAAAACAACTCTGGATCAAAAGCACATGTTAAAATCGCGCCAGATAAAACTGTCGCCATTTTATCACACTTTTGATCTCGATTTTTTTCCGTTGCTAAATAAATTATATAATTATATATCTTATATTTACCCCCGATAACAACGCTTTACCCTAGCAGCGAAATGACCTTACCTTAACCATTAATGCTGCAAACGTATTTTGTGAACACTCAATTGAAGACAGCCGTATAGGCTAAATACAAATTACTTTTAAACATAAACCCGCGTATACCCTCCAATATAGCCCTGGTCATGACCTGTCTAACCACAACAATAATATAGGAGTATGTTCAGGGTTTAGACCTTAGGCGCCCGCCATTTTGGCTAGGACATGACCTGTCTCGCTATCATATAGATTTAGGGATTTCGAGACCCATTTCATAACAGTATTTCAATACATATAACATTAAAATTCAAAAATTCAGGAAAATATCAGTACATGTGCAAAATAAGATGACAGCAAAATACCACTGCAAACAAATTCAATAAATACATTTCGCTCCTATATAAAACAAACAAAAGCCTCCAATCCATCGTACATTACAAACATAGTAACTGATTTTTGAAGATCACCTTCACCAAAATCTCCCAAATACTCTAAACTACCTAACCACTCTGTTTGTTGCAGGAGAATTTAATATTTGAGCTTAATAGAAGATTAACAAAATACTGGAAATGTCAATAAAAATTTTCAGAAAAGACATTCAGAAATTATTTCGAGAGGATTTCAAAAAGGCCCCGAGGCACTACAAAAGATTTTTAGAAAATTTCAGAAGGGGCGGCATCGAGAAACGTTTGAAAACATTACAATATTTGGAGGTTTAGCAAAGACTTCGAGAATATTACAAGAAAAGAGACTTTAAACGATTTTAAGGATTTGGAGAATCAATCCAAAAAGTTACAGTTGCCTTTACTCTAAGCGCCTGTGATTAAAAATTAAAAAATATCTATAAATAAGAAAGGTGATATTGCGCAACCTGCGCATGCGCACCTTAATCTTTGAGATTGTTCTTAGCACAGGTGCCAGAGCTATAAGCTACCGAATTCAAAAAGTTAAGGCCTCGGACGAACGGATGGACAAAGAAAGTGGCTGCAATATAAATATAGACAATGACAGACTGACACCAATACCAAGTCTGTAAGAGGTGTAGTTCCGGAGGCTTTGTGACTCAGACAGACAGACAGATATGTCAGGAAGGTAAAAGTGCACTTTTCATTTTTTGAAAGTCAAAGTGCACTAAAAATAATAAATAGGTAGTTAAATAAGTGTAAATGGTATAATATGTAAACTATCAACCACCGTTTCTACTTTTCTACACTGCGGATTCCTTTAACCTTGTTTCAGGTTCCTCTCAATTTATTAGTTCCAATTTAATTTATTTGGGGGAAAAGTTACCAATGTGCCACAATATGGAACTGTCCCAAAAATTACCAATGTGACCTAAGGTTTGCAGTTAAAATTAATTGTTTTTAACCTTTTTACCTATTGCCGTTTTGTTTATAATTTTATTGCCAACTCGTATAAAAAAATTAGGTCCACACCTTGATTAATAAATTGGTTTTTCAAGGTAACTAGCTACTCCAAAAAATAGCGCAACTGTATGTATGCACCTTGAACTCCAACACCTTCGTAATTCGTGGTACCAATACGAGAATACGAGCACCTTAATCCGATAGATCAAAGACCCGCAAATATTCACGTGCGTAAAAAAGTAATCGGACTGTTCATGTTGAAAATTATATCAGCCGTCCATTAGTTTTCGCTATCCGACGAAGTTGCATAAAAACGCTTCTTATTATTGGTTTTTTCGAAAGAGCTGCTACCATTGAATGTATAAAGTACCAATGACAATAAATTCGTCGAAAAATAGTAGCACAAATCTTCGATTCCACGGGTAATGAATTTTTTATATACGGTAGTTATACGACTTTCGGTTCGAACTTTTAATTAACCATGAAATTTTGCGCGACCTTCAAAATGGCGTACACAACTCACAACATTCCCCTTGAAAGCTTGGCGAAGAATTTCGTTTTACGCGATCTATAAATTTTCGCGCTCACGATACGTAGGTTTGCCTAGAAGTCTGGCTAAGGATTCAATACGTGATCGAAAAGATGCAGCGCTCGAGCTGCATAGATTCCCTTCGAAAGGTTAAGAATGCCGCTCTCCCGCCAGATTTTCACTTAAGTACTCGCCGAATCTCAAATACGAAATGGACCCATCGCAAACTAAGCGTTAACTCTGTTTTTAGCGTATTTTTCTCAAAGAGAAAAATCGAAATTGGCTGCACTTTGTCGTCCGTCCGTCCGTCCGCCACACGTACTCCTTCTACACCACAGAATCAATTTGGGTAATATAGGGCTCATTTGAATGGGCTTGCTAGCATTATCGGTTCCCATATGACTAGTTTGACATTTGTCAATAATTGATTGATGTGGTGGTGGTCGAGGTTTGTATTTTACCGACTAAATTTGGGTTGTCGCATTTTTATTAATTGACAGTTTTTCTCGTCTAATTGCTAGGCAACAGATTTTCATTACCTAAACAACCCAAATTTAGTCGGTAAAATATAAACCTCTTGTGCAATTATAAGTGAAAATATTTAACTGAAACTTTATATGTAAACACTACGAATATAAGTAAAATTAGCGACGTTTTCAAAATGTTGTTTTGCGCATGCAAATTATGAAAGCATCTAAATGAAATTTTATACATAGGCATTTGGCATAAAGACAAATATAACACACTTGCAAAAGTTGGTTTATGCCAACTTCCTTATTTACGGAAGCATTTAAATGAAATTTAATACATAGGCAGTTGGAATACAAGCAAATCTAACACTAGTTTTAAAATTTGGTTTTGCGCATGCGCAATGGCAACTTCATTATTTATGAAAGCAGTTAAATGAAATATTATATGTAAGTATTTTGAATGAATAATACTGTTACGCATGCTGTATGTTTTATTTATGAAGATATTTATTGAAATTTCTAAAGTAGACAATGCACAATGCTATTTACGAAAGCATTTAAAAAAGTTTCATATGTAGGCACTTCGAATAAATACGCTCTCGTCATTTCTGTTTGCATAATGATTTTTTAACTTGTTTATACATGCGAAGGTATAGGAGAAAATACTTCTCTCATTCTCTGGCAAGACGGTTTTTTAGAACCAGCAACACTGAGCGTTTCAACTCTAATCTGCTGAACACTCGTTTCTTATCTTAACGCGCTTTATTTTCTCGAATATTTCCTATACCAGCAATCTGTAAAGCCTAAAGCGACCACTTGTTGCACAATCCAAAAATGATTTCATTGCGAATGTGAACATCATCCTCACAACCGTGGTGCAAATAACAGTGACCTAGCTTGTACGTTCAGGCAATGAGGCTACCAGGCATTATTTGAAACAATAAACCCATTGATAAATGTGGGAAGAGAAGAGAGCGATCATTTTTATTACAATCGACAAAATAAAAACTTAAAACTACCACGAACAATATTCGTTTGGGGGAATTTCTTACATTACTTATTTCATCTGTTACTGTTGTTAATAAGTCCGATTTCCAGTTATTGTTTTAAATACTATTATGCATTTTTTATCATTTTCGTGGATAACAAAATTGAAAGTTAACAATAGTGCCGACGTAATTTGAAACAGATAAGTCAGAAGCTCTCTTAATATAATATATCATCCCTAAATGCCTCGCAATGCAGAGACAGAAGAAACATTGGTAAACTACTAAAAATTGCTATTGTTACCCACTATAGCAACTAATTTAGAAATAAATGGACTCCTTATAAACGAAGACCTAAAAGGATAAACAATATACTATTAAAATTAATATTACAAAAAAACATATTTTGACATTTTACTGAAAAAGCAAAATTTAGCAACGGCAACGAATTGTAGAAACATAATTTTGAAACTACTTTTCTGTATAGTATTTACTACATGTTGCCGGATAAGTTATTAAATAATCAGTAACCACTAACGTTATCAGCGTCGTATTATAACAATAAAAAGTTTGATAAGTATTAAGCTAACTAAAAATATAAATGAAGGGTTTATTTTGTAATCAGTGCTCTGCGGAGGTACTGGTAACGTATAGGTGGTAGATGTTAAAACATGACCCAATTTTTGAGGATATTCGAATGAATCACGTGATGTGGGGCAGAGAAATTTACGCTTTTTATCGACAGAAGCAATCCTTCTAATTCCAAAATTGGCAATTGTGTCCTAACATAAGAAAATCATCGATAAATAAGTTAATTTTTAATTTTAGAACTGGATTTAATTATCAAAACCCTGTTCTATAATCAAATTGTTTACGTGTATTGATTGGCAATTTACCTCGGAAATTGATAAACAAAAGTTTCCGATTATGATATCCCTCATGCTACACACGAATTAAAGCCCGTTAGTTAGAATGTTGTGCAAACCAAAATCTCGGAGAAGAAAGCGAAGGGATGACGCGGATGATGATGAGGATGGTAATCAATCATATGTTAACTTAAATCATTTGATTATATCTGTGTGTTTTGTAGAATCTAATGAGGCGTTTGCCGACGTTATACAACAAAGTGTCGGAGGGTTTGGGAGATGGCAGTTACAAACTTTCGCGTTGCTTTGTCTTATTGGATTACCAAATACATGGACCGAGATGAGTATATCGCTATTAGGTCATTCGCCCGAATTTTGGTGCAAACCTCCCGAATCGTATCAGAATATGTCTGCAACACAATGGAAAAGCTTAATTAGCTTAACTGCGGAAAACTCACACAAGGTAAAATATCATCTTACCAACTTCAACATTATGTGTTCCGTTCCAGGGATCGAGCGGGTCGTGCATGATACTGGATATATTAAATGAAAATGTTACGTCATTGATCCCATGCGAATGGGGTTATGAATACAATCGAGAGTACGTGAAATCTAATATGATAACCGAATGGGACTTTGTGTGTGATCGACAGTATTTAGTGTACATTTTTCGAGCGTTAACCATGGTCAGTTTAAGCTTGGGTAAGTTTTACTCGCTAACGTCTGGTGTCTAATCACCCAGTTTAGGTGGATTCGTTTTTGGTTTTGCCGCAGATAGGTTTGGACGTAGCAGGGCTTTGCTACTGGCAATCATTTGCCGGTCGATATTTGGCATCGTGTCGACCGCAGCACGAGACTTCCACTTATTCTTCTTCCTCAGATTCTGCTTAGCTTTCTTTGATCGTGGTGCATTGATTATTGGATTGGTTATGTGCGTGGAATTAGTCGCGGGGAAATGGAAAACTATAATACCAATTTTATACGAACTTCCTCTGGCGTTCGGTTTAATTATCATGTCGATAATGACGAATTTTATACGTGATTGGAGAATAGCTCAAGCGGCTTTATATTTCATGTCCGCCATATGCATAATTTGTCATCGGTAAGATCGGCTTTTGATTACTGAAGTTGGTCAACTTGTGTTTGTAGAATTGTTCCGGAATCGCCAAAATGGCTACTGACAGTTGGAAGAGATGCCGAGGCATCAAAAATATTAGAAAAAGCTGGCGAACTGAACGGTGTGGACCCAATGGTAGTGAGATCAATGGTGGAAAGTTTTTGTGTTTTCTCTGAGGACCAAAGGACACCCAATTTTACTGCTCTCTGCACTAATACCTACTTGCGAAAACGCTTGGCGCTGGGATGTCTAAATGGGTACCATATTCGTTTTAAGTGCACAACAGTTTTGATTGTATTTGTATTTTTTCAGATTAATAATCTTTACAGTTATGTATGGACAATCTCAGCATTTCGGGGAACTAAGTTCTAACCCATACCTTAATATTTGCCTGCAAGGTGTATTGGCATTGATAGGAATAATGTTAAGTTGCATCCTAGTAGTGGTACTTAATCGAAAATTGGCAATTATGATAGCTTCGGGTTGCTGTGGAGTGTTTACGTTAGCACTGTTGGCAATACCACGTGACATGCATCAAGTACGGGGTGCAATTGGCGGAATTGCCTTCGTTGCTTCAATAGTAAGTTTGTACCAACCGATGAGTCGTATATGTGTAACGAGGAAATTTAAGGTGTGCATCGCTCCTATTCAACCTCTGGTTGCCGAACTGTTTCCGACAGTCATACGAAATTCTGGATATGGAATATTTTCGATATTTATGAGCATCGGTGCGCTTATAGCCCCTTCTATTATTTCAATTGGCGATGTCGTTTGGTATCTCCCATTAGTAATTTTGGGCGTGATATCGCTCATGGAAGCTGTTATTATAGTATTCTTACCTGAGAATCCTAAACAAGCATTGCCACAAACTGTAGAAGAGATTGAAATGTATTCGTTTGTTTAGTTGTAGTACCTTTAATAGCACCTTCATAGAAGAATACTAGAAATATTATATGATTACTTGATAATTTTCTATTTGTACCTATAGTATCAACTAATACACATTATTAAAATCACGCAGATGTATATAATTTTATCAGAGTTAAAGGATACTTAAATAATAAGGCTAATTATAGACGCACCCGATGGAAAAATTGGCGTATAACATTTGACAGCCGAACCTAAAGAAAAAGTACATTTCAAGTAAATGAAATGCAAATGGCGGTACTTCGATGACAGAACACATGCAGTTATATCCTCACTACGGAGTTAAAGGTGAATCCGTTCACTAATTACTCCAGAATCCCCAATTTAATGAATCCAATTGCCAACGATTAATAAAACATGGATGATGGCAATTAAAATTCCATGCGTTCTCAACTAACGCCTCAGCTGTTGCTTTTAATGAAGTGTAACTTGATACGGTTCTCGATAGGAAAGAAGGAAGATGAAGGTCGACATTTAAAATTCATTGAGCCATTCATTCAAAAGTTACGAGGATCTTTCAACAAGTCAATATTGGCTGCTTCGTAATGGAAAAAACTAGAAATACAAAAATTGAAATTCTGAAATTTCTCCCCCAAAACAACACACCCCTTTAAATCCAAGCGAATCGATTCATCCATCCATGTTAAACACCAAGGGAAAACCAACAACCCTTCTTCCCCAAAACGTCAAACCAAAACGTATTGCACAAACACAATGCTTTACTAACTACCATAAACTACTACCTAACGAAAAAGTTTTGGGTAAAGAAAATTACCCCCAAGTGCTGCCCAAGGGTCAAGGTAATCGAAAAACTTCCCTCTCCCTATAATTGAAGGCCACAAAAAACCATTCCCCTACGTAATCCCATACAAACCTCATCCCTGGTACTGGTACGAAAAATGGAAAAATCCACCCAACATAAAAAAGAAGAACACAGTAGAAGGGAAAAATAGAGAAGCGTATAGAAAAAGAAGAGGAAATTGATCGGAAAAAATCCCCTAGCCGATCTTGTTGCTACGATTTGGAGGCCATCCCCTGTGCCCAACCAAACCCTCCGAAGAATAATAATAATAATAAGAAGAAGAAGAAGAAGAAAGAAAGAGATATGGGACATAAATAAATATTGAAGTCAAATTCGGTAAAAGAATACGTCAAAATCTAAAGCCGTTAACAAATGAACAATCCGGCCAAATTAAACACCTAAATATGGCCATCGAGTTCAATGTAAGGTTTTAGATCTTAAACATAAGTGCCAGAAGATTTTCTCTTAAATTCGGTTCATTATAGGTTAAATACCCAATTTTATGCCTGAACGTAAAGGGCCCTAAGAATCTGGGGGCCAATTTCGCAGAGTAATCTTTAGGGGCATCAGACAAGGTTTTATTCTAGCGCCAGACCAGATCTCCTATCTCATAGTGCACATGCCTTCGTCGTAAGTTATAATGTCGTTTGTTTTGGTTATGGGTGTCTTTAATGCGTGCAATGATTTTGTCGTACAGTCCTTGTTGTTGGCCTAACCGTTGCTCTACGTCAATCAGTTCATTGTCAGTCAATTCAGTGTCGTAGCTTTCGAAGAGCGCAGGTTATCGAAGCTTAATAAACCAATGTTTGTGATTGTTCTTAACGTAAATAGCGATTAAATGTTTTACCACACGATTCACGCTCTCCGCAGGATAGCCCATGGACGATAAAAAGGAGTAAACCGGACTTTTACACGGTAGCGTTCACAAAAATACAAGAAAAGTTGTCTGCGCATTTGTACACCATTGTCACAAATAATTGACAGAGTTTTGGCATTCGCCGTTCTGACAGGAAAAAGAAGAACCAATTTACTCATAAATCGCTAACAATCAATAAATGAGTTTCCATTTCTCATAGTCATGAAATTGTAAAGCGGACTTAATATATTTGTACAGCAATGAATCTTTCACTCTCCAATCAGAATATTTATGAGGGCTTTGTTCCAATCTTTCGAACATACCAAGGTATCGAGGGTCTTTAGTGGTTCGGAAATTTTTAAGATCCACTATGACATCCGATGAATGTATAACCTCCACTACTGGTACAGTACGTCACAAAAGATCGGGGGCTACATTATATTTGCCCTTACTTACGATGGACAAGAGTAAAAGTATGGGTTTTAATGCAGAATTCAACGCGCTAAACGTCCTTGAGGCTCTTTAAGAGAATGTAACCATAGCAAGGAGTGATGGTCAGTTATGACTGTGAAGGGAACTCCTTTAAGATACTGTCAAAGTTGTTCTACCGTCCAAATGATTGCTAAGCACTCGCGTTCTGTCGTGCTATAATTTTGTTCCGGATAAATAACAAACTACTCGTTATCCATCTGGAAAAGTTTGGTTAAAACTGATCCTAGCCCATATACAGAAGCATCGGTCTGGGTAATTGAGTACCGGTACAGTAGATAAAAGTTCTTTTAATTTTACGAAAGGTTCTTCAGATGCCCATTCAAATTTAGTTTGTTTAGTTTAGGTGCCAGAACTGTAGAAAAGTCAGGAGTGAACCTACGATACCAAACGCAAGTTCCTAAGAAAGTCGTGTATCTTGAACATTAGTCGGAGTTAAAATATCTAAAATCGCCTTGATTTTATTAGGGTCTGGATGTAAACCAATAGAATCAACAATATAAGTTGAAGAACACCTGGTGGTGATGTTGTCCCTAGATGAACTTCACCCTTTAGATCAACATCTAATAAAGACATTATTATTATGGTCGGTGTTTCTTGTGAGAACTCAGGTCTAGCCTGGTTAACTAATCGCACGGATTAAAATCAAGTAACGATTAGTGTCTGTGTCTGTGTCTGGTGAAGTTATGTAGGGTTCTAAAAAAAAAAATAAAATAAAAAATAAAATAAATATTCATACACTCACATTGGAAATCTAGGGATAGTATGTAATTCATACTTACCAACATAGTTTATTGTGTAAGTGTTTCTTTGGCTTTGCGTTTGGGTTGAATACGAGTGGGTTGTGATAACGTGGTGTGTTTCTGTGAATAAGGAGTTTTGTGTTTTTTAACTGTACTAGGACGTGTAACTTTATTGGGTGGACCTGTCTTTGTAGTGCAAGTTGCGTTACTTGTATTTATGGTGTTTCTTTGTTCTTGAGGTTGTATTTGTGTTGTTGCTTGGATTATTGGTGGAGACATTACGGTATTTTGTGAGCCTCTAGTGCTGTTAAGGTTGCTGCGTTTGGGTTGAGTACGAGTGGGTTGTGATAACGTGGTGTGTTTCTGAGAAGAAAGAGTATTGTGTTTTTTAGCTGTGCTAGGCCGTGTAACTTTATTGGGTGAGGGCGTCTTTGTAGTGCGTGTTGCGTTACTTGTATTTATTGCGTTTGTTTGTTCAGGAAGTTGTGTTTGTGTGGTTGGTTGAGTTAAGGGTGGAGATATTACAGTATGTTGTGTGTCATGTTGTGAGTCTAAAGTGCTGTTTAGGCTTTTGCGTTTGGGTTGAATACTAATGGGTTGTGATAATGTGGTTTGCTTCAGAGGTGAATCTCTGATTGTAGTATATATTGTATCATTTGTTGTACTTGTTTGCTCGGTAAGTTGTATTTGTGTGTTTGTTTGGGTTAGAGGTGGAGATATTACAGTATGTTGTGTACCGTGTTGTGAGGGAGTGCTGTTGTTTACATGTATACGTTGTGGATCATTTGTGTATGTAGTATCTTGTGTTATGTTTAGAAATTTACGAACAATATGGCATGTGTTGATAATGACTGCTTTTTGTAAATTTTTGTATGTGTTTTTGTCTAAACCTAATAGTTGTAAATTGTGGTGTATTGTCTTTGGTATAACTCCGGTAGCACTAAGAATAATGGGAACTATAACAGTAGATTTCATTCTCCATTGCGTCTTAAGCTCGATGGCTATATCGGTGTATTTGCGGTGTTTTTCTGCATGTGTTTTAGTTAAGTTGTTAGTGTTGGGTATGGCAGTGTCTATAATACAAATGGATTTTTGTGTTTTATCTATAAGTGTAATATCTGGTCTATTATTGTGGATAGTTTTGTCTGTGAGTAGTGTCCTGTCCCAATATAACTTGTGTGTGTTGTTTTCAAGTATGATCTGTGGCGTGTATTTGTAATATGGTGTCTTATCTGTTATGAGATTGTGTTTAAGAGCTAATTTTTGATGTATGATTTTAGCTACCTGATCGTGTCGATGTTTGTATTCAGTTTGTGCAAGTCGTGTGCATGCCGATATTATATGTTGGATTGTTTCTGATGTTCGTGAACAGAGTCGACAAGAATCGTTTGTCACTGTTTTGTCTTTATGTATGTGTTTTTTATAGTTGCGTGTATTAATGACCTGGTCTTGTATTGCTAACATGAAACCCTCAGTCTCCGGGAAGATATCACATTCAGACAACCAAGTGGGCGTTGCTATAGAATCAACACAATCCTGACTAACCTCTTGTGGAAATCGTCCATGTAACAGCTTTTGGTTCCATGTCTGTATGTTATTTGTGATGTATGTAAGTTTGGATGGACGTGGGAGTATATTAGTTTCGTGTAGGTTAAGTGGTGTGTAAGATTTGTCTGCATATGTTACTGTTTTGTGTAGGACTGAAGTATCTGTTTTGTTATAAAAGTATTGTCGCAAATTGTGTATTTGTGTTTGGTGCAATAGTTTTATATCTGTAAGTCCTCTACCTCCTTCCGAACGAGGAAGGTAAAGTCGTATAGTAGAGGAGTGAGGGTGATGTATATGGTGTTTTGTTAATAGTGTACGTGTGTTTCTCTGTATTTGTTCTAAATCTGTATTTGTCCAACGTATAATCCCAAAAGAGTTTATAAGTTCTGAACGACAAAAATTACATTTGGTATGAGGTATTATCACTACATCGACTAGGTAAACTAAAACGTTAGGTTGCAATTCAGGTCCTAAAATGGTGGCGATTATGCGCTGAAAAGTTGCAGGGGTATTAGTCAAGCCAAAAGACCACGACGAGGCAAAGTAAAATCTCTGCAGGGGCGTGATTCCTCAGCAACTTCGATACTAAGATACTTGTCATCTCTCAATTGGTCTAGGATGATGCTGATATAAGGCAAAGGAAAAGCGTCGCGCTCAGTTAACGAATTGAATTTACGGTAGTCTATACAAAATCGGTAGGTTTTATCTTTCTTGGGAATCAGACAGACAGGCGAAGCTCATCCGCTGTTCGATGGTTCGATAATTCGCTCCCTAAGCATCTCGTCGATATGGCTGTTGATCATCTTTTGTTTAATTGGATTGACTGGATAGTAACGTTGCTTAATGGGGGTAGTACCCTCCACCAGGCGTATCTCATGTTTACCTACTGGGGTCAAACCTAACTAAAGTTTTTGAAACTCAGCCCCAATTCTGTAATCAAAATCATTCAGCTGAGGCAAAAGAGTATGTCTCCACGCATATTGCACATGTTATATTATGCAATTTTGCGAAAAAATGGACAGCTAAGAGCTAACGATCCGTTAAATGCGCATCGAAAAATATTCTTTGCTCTAGATTCAAAGCTCCAGTCTGATTGGCCAACTGAGTTACTGAACTATATCGCCGCTTGTAAAGTGGTGGTATTTTGATATTGATACAAATTGTTCTGGTTTCAAAAATTTGATGTTGAACCAATGTAATCATTGATTACAACTATAGCCCTTGAAATTAAATCTGAAACAAATCTATCACATAGGCGGTTATCTATTAGATTAGTTTAACTGAAACATCAAACTCAAGCTCCACGTACAGGTAGGTAAGTGTTGCTAAGAATTTTGGTTTTGGGTTTGATGGCTGCTTGAGGTACCATACGGTAAGCATTGTTTTTCTAACTTTACCCATTAAAACCAAAACCACAACACACATATAGGTTTTTAGATCAAAGAAAATTTTCCACGCTGATACAAAAGCGTTGTTAAATTCCAACTGAATGATAAAGGTTAAAAGGTTACTTCTATGATAACGTCAGTTACGAGTTACATTTCCAAAGAAACCAGAACAATTTTGTAACCTTATCCTTAAACATATCGGATTTTACCATTCGATTGCAACAAATAAACAGTTATTTAGTTAATGTAGGTATATGTGAAAGATTGTGCGTTACGTTTAACAAATTGGTGTTAATTTTAAGAATGTAGTTTGTTGCAATCACGGCTAAGTAAATATCATATCAAGGTAAATGTTTTATATTATTTGTAATAATAACGAGATCTTTACACATGTTGCTTCTATTTTTAATGACCCCAGAGTATGATGGGTCTGTCAATTTTTATTTGACAAAACTATTTAGTAATTACATAGGAATAGTACTAAGAATAGTAGGTACTTTTAATTTGCTTAGGTCTCCCGACGCAACTATAACATGCCTTTTACATCTTATCTCGTCGTGAGGCCCTTGTCAATTGCATTTCACCAGATAGTTTTTTTAATTTTAAATCATCGTTCGTAACAAGTTCTTTAATGTTCACTTATCAATAGTAATGGTACGTTGTCTTGACAACACGGTAAATATACACTGTGTCCAAGATAAGGATGTCTATCATGGGATCTCTGAAACCGTAGAAAATACGACGATGGTCAAATTGGAGAACAGATTAAAGAGTTATTATCATACATACCGGAAAATTCCGATTACTTCCGCAGATATGTCATAAAAACCGAAATTTGCCAATTTCGTTTTTATCTTTTTGGATCTTAGTTGAACAAAAACAAAAAAATCAGAAACACATTCTCCTTGCGCCCTTTTGAGCTCTAGAAGACAGCAGACAGCAGCCCGTTTGGCTAGCCACGAACTAGGCAGCCTGGCTGCGGCACGAGCACGAGTCATGTGTGGGATTGATGACCGCAGCTTAGCTGCCGCAGCCAGGCTGCCTAGTGCGTTACTGTCGGCTGTTTATAAATAGATGTTCTTGCCAAAGCAATGTCGTAGAATTTTTCAGCGTTAGGTACATTCGTAATATCGTGCTATTCCTGCATCGCTTAGTCTACAAGCTAAGGGACATTCTTAAAGTTTCTAGAATTTATGAATTTCCTTTAAATCTCTCCTTTTACAAATCGATCGCGATATCAGGAACAGAATGTCGTAGACCTTTAGACGTTTCAGCATGTACAATCTAGCTATTCTTGTCACTTAACCTGCAATTTACTGACCTACCACATCAAAAATGCGGTTAAGTGTAGTGGTGGCACATCAGAGACTTTTTTTAACTATTTGCATATGCATCGGGATAACTTGGAACTAAACGTAAACAATAGTCCCTTGTATGGAAAAAACAAATATAAATTGTGCACAACTCTTGTGCATTTTTAAAAACCGAAATAGCTTAGTAAATGGTTGGGTTATAAAGAGATATCTCAAACTTTTAAAGACTGCCTGATATACATTCAAAATCATACGACTCTCCATTCTGCAGATTTTGCCTTTGAGAGTACTTTCCTCCGGCAAACCGTTTTCGATATATTCACTCTTAAACTTTTGACATCACCAATAGATATATTTCTTCCAGACGTCTCAATCGGCCTTTGTGAGTACCCTCTTCCGACAATCCCTTCTTGAGGTATAATAAGGGAATATTCCCGATCACGATAAGAAGTCGAGGAGGAGGGCTATGGTTGGTAGAAATTAATTCATTTCGTTGAGACCTTTCATTAGAGTACCATGAAGGATAAAACTAGTTCCACTCCTCACAAACCTACAACAATGCGCACCCATAAAAAATCTCCGAAATGACTACTTTTTAAAATGAGTCTTAGATAATCTGACATACTCTAATACTTCTAATACGAGTATTTTGCCTGGTACTCGTATTATGTTTATGAACATCTGTCTGGGTGTGGAATGTGCTTTGTTTGTCTCTTTCAAATAAAATGCGCCCAAGAATATATACCTCTGGCAGGGTTAATACCTTCAGGAATTTAAAAGAGTCGCTGCAGTTATTTCGGGAGGGAATAGTATCCAGTATCCTTAGCTCTTCTCTGTAGGGCAAATACGTCTTTTGATGATGCGCAGTTGCCCCAGATTATAATACTATAGTACATTATTGAGTGAACCAAAGAGTAGTAAGTGGTTATTAGAGTCTCTTTCGACACATTATTGACTAATTGTCTAAAGATATATTACAGGTTGTATCAAATTTTGTGTTAAGTACAGAGATCTCGCTTATTAACATAGATTGAGAGTTGGTTAAATGGACAAAAATGATCCTTAAGTTATGCCTAAATAAAATCAAAAAACAAATTTTACCGAGTCGAGATGCGACAAGGACACTGTGAATGTTGAAGACTCACTTTTGGCAGTGCGTATTATATAATATGCCCATTTGAATTTTATGCTATTCGGTTCATAACTCACGGAGATGTCAAAAGGGCCTTCCTTTTTTTATCCTACATTCGCATTCGCAAATCTACAAATTTGACAAAGAACCCACATGCAAAATTTCATCATAACTTGTCCACTCGTTTTCGAGTCAACGTGCTAACGGACGGACAGACGGACATCATACACTTCATATACCTACTTCAACAATGAAACACTTTGTATATTAGATTTAAATGAAAGCCACCCACACCTGTGGAATAGTCCCATCCTATCTAACTGAGCAACGAAAACTACAATATGCCCTAATTTATTAACACCCTGTGTCTTCAACCTTCCCTTAACAAATGACCCTGACGTCAAAACAGGATAAAAATTAATGAAGGTAAAGGAATTTTCGTAATCCGCTATTCCTATAAACGTAATTGAAGCGACACTCTCAATGAAACTTCTTCGCACATGCGAAAGCATTACGTATATGCTATCTCTACATATCTCTAAATAAGTATTGTTTATGCACACATAAATGTTCGGAACAGGGCTACATGATGTGGGGTCGACTACATCTGGCCGCCGCGCCATTCCGAGCGTGTTATATTAACGCGGTGATTTTTCAGTTTTTTCCTATCTTCTTATACAGATTTGATCCGATTGTTTTCAAATTGGTGTCATCGGAAAGATCTTGTAAACGCGCAAAACTGCTACAGTTCGAGCTATGAGAAGTGTCCCAAATTGAGAACTATTTTGTGGAGGATTTTTATCAAAATGCGAATTACTGGTGAACAGAACGTCGAAAGAGGGTATCGACAAAGGGAATGTGGTAGGTTTCGACAAGATCTTATTGATGGTGGAGTCAAAATTGGCTAATACTGATTTTCCACACAAAAATGCGCTGTCCCATCGATCTCACACGAAGACTTTTGTAATTTAAAACATTACTGGTTTACCTACAGTTGCAACATCATACAAACAGAAAGCAAAACATCGTTTATTGGCAGATGAGCTGAATTACTTGTATACGAATATGTCGTGTTCTTTTGTCGTTTATACAAGAAATCGCAACCTACACAAGAAACGCTGTAAGAAAATATAGAGATCATACTCGCACTGTCTTTTCGTTATAGGTACGTTTGAAAACTTAGCTTAGACTTTCCTGTTTTTGGTTTACAATACATTGTATTTACTCTATGGTTTAGCTTAATTTTTATAAATATACAGTGTGAATCTACCTGTCTGCCAACAGAAATTCTTTTTGAGTAGGTAAATTTTATTTTATAGGGCGGATGAATATAAATATCTTTGTGGCTAACAGTTGGCAAAAAATACTCTTTAGTAATTTGTGCGAGTGCGGATCTTTATTACCTGTTTAATTAGAGCGTTGTGATACGAGACCAATAGCACCTCACCTAACTAGATATGGGTTATTACTGATTAAATTGGCTTTGCGGTAAATTAGTTTAAATTAAATGTGATTACCTCTGCAGTTTTTGTCAATCAACCTCCTTAAAAATTGGGACAACAATACGCTTGCCGTAACACAATTCTGCTTTTGTTAGTAACGGCCCAAAACCAAAATCTATAGTAACGTCTTCAATTTTTTCTCGATTTTTAAAATTAGAAACAAAGAGCACCTGCAAAATTTCCACGGTTTATAATTAGGTCTCGTTAATATTTCCTTTTCATTATTTAGCGAAAAGTTAGTAGAATAAACCGGAAGTAAAGTCATGATAAGTTTAAACGGAAAAATAACTGATTAGCTACGTTGCTTGCGGTTCATTTCTGTAATGTTACGAAGGAAGAATTGTAAAATGGCAGACGCCATGATATTTTTGTTGTTTTCAAGAGCAATTTGATGAACAAATTCCGCTACATTAACACATGATCACCTATAACAGAACTTGTGCTTAAATTTGTTCATTTTCCGCAGATGGCAATCAAGGAGGAAAATGTACACATTCAGAGAGAGAATCAGCCCTCATACGGTGGAGTAGACAGTGGTATCACTGGTTATACATAAGTAAGTGCAAGTACGGTAATCTGATCTATGTTTCATTCGTAGATGAAAACGAAGTTAAAGACTCAGTAGATCTCTTAGAAGCCACCATTGGAGGTTTCGGCCGTTGGCAATGTCAACTATCGATACTGGTATCCATACTGAAAATACCCATCTCTTGGATACAGCTAAGTATTGTATTCTTAGCACCACCCACGGAATTTTGGTGTGCGCCACCAAAGAAATTTGAAGGTCTTTCAACGAGAAAGTGGATTGATTTGATAAGCTCAGGATCAAATGTACGTACGCAAGATACTAACGAAACGCTGTACGTTATCTCTTAAGGTCACAGGAAAATTACACATTTGCGAAATGCCGAATGTCTTGGACTCAAGAAATACCTCCATTGTGCCTTGCCAGTGGGGTTACGAGTACAATACAACTCAAGTTCATTCTAGCATTATAACCGAGTGGGATTTGGTGTGTGACCGGAAAATTTTGGCAGATATTACCCAAACAATACTAATGTTTGGCATTCTCGTTGGTAGGTATTGAACCGTTGCTCACCAGTTTTTTTTTGCAGCAATTTCGTAGGTCTCACTATTTTTGGTCCCGCGGCCGACCGGTATGGACGCAGAAAAACGTTACTGCTTTCAACGTTTTTGCTGGTTGTTTTTGGTATCCTTTCAACTTTATCCCCATTTTATAGTATGTTTATGGTGCTCAGATTTATCTTGGCTGTGGTGTCGAGTGGCGTTATGGTAACATCGTTTGTAGTTTGCGTAGAAATAGTAGCGGGATCCTGGCGAACCACCGTGCCTATATTGCATCAAATACCATTCGGTTTAGGAAACGCAATAATGGCTGTGATGGCTTACTATATCAGAGAGTGGCGTCACCTTCAACTTATCTTGTGCGGAATAAGTGCCCTCTATTTGTGTTATTACTGGTAAAAATTGCATTTGAGAAGAACAAGCTGTACATTGCATCTTATAGGTTAGTTCCAGAATCGCCTCGATGGTTGATGGCAGTTGGAAGAAAAGAAGAAGCGATAGTTATATTAGAAAATGCCGCAAAAATGAACGGTATTGATAAAGCTCTAATTCGAAAAAAAGTAAACGAACTAAATTTTATCGACGACGAATGCATAGATAATAAAATTAGTCTAATGACAGTTTTCAAAACTTCGGAACTGAAACGGCGTTCGATATATCTATGCCTGAAATGGTAATTTCAATGTATTAGTGCTCAAAAAACAATGTAACTGTTTTCTAGGTTTTTCAATGGCGTAGTATTTTATGGTTTTTATCAATACGCAGGCCAACTCAATGATAATATGTATCTAACTATTGGAATCATTGGGTTAATATCGATACCAGGTGGTATTATTGGGGCGATTATTGTGAAAAAGTTAGGTAGAAAAGTAAGCATCGCGGCAGCTAATTACCTTACAGCGGCGTGTATATTTAGCATAATATTTATTCCACAAGGCGTTTATTATCAAGATTGGCCAATAATTTTGTTGGCTGCTGGTGGAATTTTTGGACTTACCGTAAGTGCTTTGACTGACTGTCAAACTAAATCAAACCGTGCGATTTTCAGATTTCATCGCCGGCCCTCCATCTATTTACAGGAGAGCTTTATCCAACCATTATGAGGAACGCAGCTTTAGGACTTAATATTATGCTTACCAAACTGGGAGCAATGATTGCTCCGCTTCTCATAGGATTAAGTTCAATTTCGCCAATCATTCCAATGGCTTCTTTTGCAGCACTCTCGCTTGTCGAAGCGATACTAGTGCATCCTTTACCAGAAACCTTAGACACTATGCTTCCAGAAACAGTTCGCGATATAGAAGATGATACAACTAGTTTAATTTCACACTAATCGTGTGGTATTTTTTAAATTCTTTTGTGTTATAAATGTTTTTTTTGCATACGTTGTTGTTGTTATTTGTACAGCCCTCGTAAGAATAGTATTACCATTTTCCAAAGCGTTTTGTACTACTGTACGTGCTTCGCGCGAATTTTGCAAGTATTTGTTTACTAAGAAATTCTTGCACTTAAAATTGTACAAAAGCTTTATTTACGTATACATATCGTTAGTGCTTCATTAGTGCTTTAGTGCGGATGAAAAAGTTTTGCAGCATCTCCACTCCGCACACCATTTTTTAATTATACCATTGTATGTACAGTGATTGATTATACGTTACCAGTTCCACACAATGATTTTTGCTTTCAAATCACGCTTACTGGTTGTTAAGCTTGGTTCCCGATACCAAAATTTTTAAGGTTTTTTGTCGGAGGATTTTTATTATAACATGTCCTTAGTTTTGTGTTGTTGCGTTGCTTATGACATCATACTCAACTTTTCCGATTGGTGCACCATAAACGTATCGGTCACTACTTACCTTTCCTAAAGAAGAAATGCTTTTTTTTAAAATCCTTATTTCCTTGTGGTTCTCGATTTTAAAACGCATTGCACGTTACCATCATGTTTGATTTTGGTTTGCATCTGGATAAAAGACAACTATAAAACCATCAAAAAGTTAGCACTAATAATATCATCACCAATGAACAGTACCAACTTAACGAGGGATCCAATCCAACGCGATTAAATTTTAACCGTGTGTAAGGGTTTCGTGCACGATCTGGAGCCGGCATGTTTAGGAATTTCATGCTCATTTTTTTTAATTGTGCAGTCAAGGGATGAAACTACGTACGTGTAGAACCACCAGACCTCGAATTAAACGTATTCAGGAAATTTTTGTACCTACTTAGTTAATAATAATCTATTCCAATTTCATTCATATGTATATTAATAATTAAAGTGTTGAAAATGATGCCCACCTGAATTCCATATTATGTACCCCTCAGTGTCTCCTTAGAAACTATATCGTTGTGATAGATCCCTCTTAAGTTTGTTGCTTGCTATCTGGTTGTAGGGCTTTTGCAAGTATTTTAAAATTACGACTGTGAACAAAATACAGGGTACAAGAAAAGTAAACCTGATAATTTCAGCCATTCTAATGAGCTATCATAAAGGTCGGTCACTGTATCCAAAGAGGTAGCAAATGAACTCAAATATTGTTTCGATACAAATTCGACGTGTTCGAGAATTTTATTGTTAATTTGCTGAAAATTGATTAGTATGTGGTGTAAATTTTGGTTGGACACCTGTATTGTCACTATCGTAAAAAATATCCGCATTTATCAAATTTAAAGCACTTTTAACATCTTTGATAATAACGTACAGGGATATCTCTGCGAATCCCAAGAGATACCGCTACATCTTCGTCGCGAGCAACTTCTACAAACCCTGTAAACGATATCTTTAACATCACCCGCACAACCCATCCTGCTAATGTTAGACGCCCCTACTCACTCTCAAAAATTGTGCAGGATGTTCAAGAAGACATTGACCTATCAAAAACAATAGTTCAAGAAACAGTTACAGCCCCATGGACCAGAAATCTTCCCTTCATCAATACCGATCTATGCAAATATAACAAGTTAAAAAGTAATCGTAAACGATTTACATAAAGCGCATTTCCACTTGCATTCATTTCCCATTTGTAAGATGCAACTTCTGTTAAAATCGTAAAAATCCGGCCACAAATATGAAAGATAGCGTTGCACATGGGCAATCCATTTTTGACGTGCTACTTCAATTTCAGTTTATGAGAAGAATTTCATTTCAATGCTTTTCTAAATAAGAAAGTTGGAACTGCGCATGCGCAAACCTAAATTTTAAAACTAATGTTAGATTTTCCTTTGTTCCAAGCGCCTAAGTATCAAATTTCACTTAAATAGTTCCATAGATAAAAAAGGTGGCACTGCGCATGCGCAAAGCCAAATTTTGAAACTGGCGTTTGATTTTCCTTTATTCGAAGTGCTTATGTATCAAATTTCGTTGAAATTCTTCCATAAATAAAAAAGTTGGCACTGCGCATGCGCAAAACCAAATTTTGAAATTGGCGTTTGATTTTCCTTTATCCCAAGTGCCTATGTATCAAATTTCGTTTAAATTCTTCCATAAATAAAAAAGTTGGCACTGCGCATGCGCAAAACCAAATTTTGAAATTGGCGTTTGATTTTCCTTTATCCCAAGTGCCTATGTATCAATTTCGTTTAAATTCTTCCATAAATAAAAAAGTTGGCACTGCGCATGCGCAAAACCAAATTTTGAAATTGGCGTTTGATTTTCCTTTATTCGAAGTGCCTATGTATCAAATTTCGTTTAAATTCTTCCATAAATAAAAAAAGTTGGCACTGCGCATGCGCAAAACCAAATTTTGAAATTGGCGTTTGATTTTCCTTTATCCCAAGTGCCTATGTATCAAATTTCGTTTAAATTCTTCCATAAATAAAAAAGTTGGCACTGCGCATGCGCAAAACCAAATTTTGAAATTGGCGTTTGATTTTCCTTTATTCCAAGTGCCTATGTATCAAATTTCATTCAAATACTTTTATAAGTAAAAAAGTTTGCAATTCGGTTTATAAATGGTCGAGATGCGAAAAGGGCACTGTGAATTTTGAATCGATTCGATTCAACTTTTGGCATTGCGTATTATATGGCTAAATCTATGCCCATATTGAATTTCATGCAATTCAGTTCATAACTAACGGAAATGTAAAAGCGATCGAACATTTCTAAACAAAGTTATCGTTCACACACACATAGATGGACAGACAGACAAAGGAACAGACGGACAGACCAACCGGCAGGCGACAGATAGCAATGCAAAATTATAAACGATCTCTAGGATCGTTAATAAACGGCAAAAGTGTAAAATTATGGAACATGTAAAAAACGGTTTTTTGTTTTTTTACAATAACTTTTTTTGTAAGCGGTACAGAAAAAATTCCTTCCTTGGTACAAGACTCGACACCATAACGAACCAAATAGCGAAAAAAGTAGAACAATAGCTCTTAAGATAAAGAACTAGTAGCGTCGCAAAACGGAGGACGGACGGACGGACGGACGGACGGACAAAGTGGCCACAATAGCGCATTTTTTTTTTATTTTTGTGGAAATGCGCTAAAAAGGCAGAAATTCCTAATTCAGTACTTAAACAATCCTTCCTCAACCTGATAAGTCACTTAAACTCGGACCGTATCCTATATACTGATGGGTCCAAAGTAGATGAAGATGTTAGCTGCTCAGTCACCACAGAAAAGGCGACTATCGCGAGGTATAGACTTCCAAGTTTTTGCAGTATACATACTGGGGAACTCTATGGAATTCTCATGGCCATCAAAACACTCAAGGATGAAAGCCAGAAGGTCATCATATGCACAGACTCCCTAGCATCAATCCAGTCTGTAGAGAATGTATATTAGTATATACAGAAAATCCGCTAGCTCAGCGTATTTAAGATGAATGCAGTAACCTTCATGCCAGAAATATAAATATAACCATTGTATGGACACCATCCCATGTTGGAATCAGAGGCAACGAAAAAGCGGATCAAGCTGCGAAAGAGACCTTTACACTCAACCTACCAAGATAAAAGATACAGCTTAAGAATGACCTCAAAAATCTTTTCAAGGAAAAAGTAGTTACAAAATGGCAGAATATTTGGAGTCAAGCAAAGACGAAACTTTCAAGTATAAGACCCGACGTGTCCAGTTATGACCTACCTAATATGAGCAGAAGGGACACCATGATAATTCGCAGGTTACGGATGGGGCACACCAGATTAACACATGGCCATCTAATGGAAGCTAAAGATCCACCCACATGTGAGCATTGCAACACAGTCCTGACAGTAAAGCACATCCTTATAGACTGCCCAAAATACGCGGACATTAGAAAACGACACGACCTAAAACCAGAGCTTAGAGAAGTTCTAACAAATAGTTTCCAGAACGTTATCAATTTCCTTAAAGATACTAATCTATATAATTACATATAGTCTAATGTAAAATGTAAATTTTTCCTCAATTTTCCTTTTCTGTTAATTTTTGTGTTTTGTATATATCACTTACTGTTCTAAATTAATTACTTATAACATGTGCCAATGGCCTATGGTTGTCGAGGCACTCAAACCAAATAAAAAAAAAAAGAAACGTTGATATAACTGGTATCCTATTTTCAATCTTATGCTAAGATAGGATAGCTCGTTGAAAAGAGAATTAAAAAATCTATTAAGTAATCTAAAAATCCAATATGGCGCCTATTTAACTTTAGGAAGTTGTAGCCATCTTGAATTTTTTTGACATCAATTCTAAACCAAGCGTATCAAAGGTAGTAACTTCTATATAAAACTTTTTTCTATATCTGTTAGATTTTCGATGATAATCGAAGCGGGAGTTCCTCAAGGGTCGATTCTTGGCCCGATCTTATTTAATATTTTTCTTCACGATATCCCAGAAACCGATAACATCTCAGTAGGTATGTTCGCCGACGACACCGTTATAGCAACACAAAATCACAGTTTAGACGCAGCAGTAATTCAACTTCAAAACGGCATTAACGTAATTAGCAGCTGGTTTTCCAAATGGAGGTTACAACTAAATTCAGTTAAGACCGAAGCAAAAATCTTCACATTGAGACGAGTATCTAACCCACCCAATATTGTACTGAACGGTCAACTAATACAGTGGAACAATGCTAACAGCGCCGTAAAATACCTGGGCATATATCTGGACAAAACCCTCAAATGGGGATATCATATTAACAAAAAATTAAACGAGGCCAACACGCGGTTATTAAAACTCTACCCTGTGATAAACAAAAACTCACCACTAAAAATCGAATGTGGCACCCTAATATACAAGGCAATTATAAGACCTGTCCTCACATACGGTTGCCCAATATGGGGTAATGCAACTGAATAAAATTCAAGTTTTTCAAAACCGAGTGCTTAGAATTATCGTAAACGCTCCATGGTACGTCAGGAATGTGCAAATCCACCGAGAAACCGGGATACCGCTCGTAAATGCTTTTATTAAAACGCTGTATAAACAATACAACACTTAAACTACGCATAAGCCCAGCCTGTGAACACTATAATCTAGGAATAAAAAACCTACATACCCGCCTGAAACGAAGATTACCACAGGATATTTACTTATCGGATGGAGATAGTGGATAAACAGTAAATAATTAATAAACAATAACGAATAGTGAATATAAACACATAGTGCTTAAAACAGTGAAAGATTAATACCTGTGCTACAAGCCTTGAAATAGCCAAATTTGGCCGAACGGGCTTAATAGAATTGTGAAAAAAAAAAGTAACTTTTATATAAAACTTTTTTATAAGACATTAAAGGAAATGGCCAATTTTAGTTTTTTTGAATTTACGTCGAACCTATTCGACATTTTGGATTTCCGCAAGGAAATTTAAAATAAGCATCAAAAACTGCAAAACATTGTCCTTTGAACCAATTCTCTATCTTTAATAATAAAAAATTTCCCATGCAATCCCACGCAATCTGGGACACACTATACATTTCCTTGAAATTTTTGATTCTGAGTGCAGATAAACCTTTAGGTTTGTCCTTTCTAAATCAATCTGTTGAACAGCTCTATAACTTCCAGATACTGTACCAGAGACTTCATAATTTAGTTAATTTCAATATTATCCATGTTTAAAAATACGCGGGTATTGCTCGAAATTGGAAACTTGTTTGGAAAGCAGGCGCTGGTTCAGTTAGACGAAAGGGAAATTCGCATTGTGATATTGAGACTTCGCAGGATTAAGAGCAAAATTTACATACTAAAGCCTTGTGGTTTGTTGGTCAAAATAATTGCTGATTCCAAGCGAACAGCCTCTTTGCACACGAACAAAACCCCTATGAGGAAACCACATCGAGCAATTTCTTTGAACCATATTACCTCTTGTACAAAAACTGCCAAAAAATATCTTTTTCACCTTTTTTTGTATATTTTCCAATGTTGCCCCATGAAATTTTGTTGGAACCAAAGAAATCAAAACTACCCCACAACTTTTCCGCTAGAGGCCCGTTTGAGCACAAATGGCCTGTATTGCTGGTGGGACCTTGAATCTTAAAGATCCGGAGAAATCTCAAAATCGAAATTTGGAGTGATTTCAATAACCTTATCCAATTTTTTATAGGTGAGGTTAAAAAGAATGTATAGTTTCTTATTCATGGATAACATGCATGTGTTTGTGTGGCTAGAGAATAGCGAATATGATTTTGAGAGCTGCTGAAAAAGGAAAAACGATTAGGTACACGTATCTAATGACGTGGTTAGTTATTAATATTAGTAATGAAGATAAGAAATGTATTTATTGTTTGTCGCATTCAAGGTTCTCATAAAATCACGATATTATGTTTAGCACTTACAAAAGTAACGTAGAACAATTTAATACAACTAATATCTTATCAAACTTGTTCACAACAATATGAATTTCCTTTCGATAAACAAATTGGTGACTTCCCCACTCTGAATTTTGTGTGTTAGTGTTACATCAGTTATGGACAAAAATGTAGAAGGTACAGCCCTACAAAATGAGTCCATATTATTATATGGCAGTTGTGGTAAATGTGCGTAGTGAACTTTTACTATTTTTGATATACCTACAAGGAAACTGTTACAGGTGACGAAACCGACGCGAAAAAAAGTGATATTTTGACTACGACAATTGGTAGTTTCGGAAAATGGCAGTTCAGGATAGTAGTGTTGATGTCCCTACTGAAGATACCAATTGCTTGGGTGCAGTTGGGAATCGTGTTCATAGCACCTACTACCACTGAATTTTGGTGTAAACCTCCAAAGCAATTCATGAATTTATCTAAGAGTGAATGGAAGTCTATGATATCCGTCAATGACGATCTTCTTAATGTAAGCCTGGTGCATTATTGGGCAAAAAGAGATAGATGTTTGCTATCACGGGGTCATTTAGTCTTATTTTTATGATTTTCTCTAATTGCCAATTATACAATTTGTAACGAGTCAATTTCAAACTTTTTAAGTCGGCGGGAGAGTTTATTATTAGTTATTTGCATTCCACGAGTATGAGAAAAGATTATAAAATCGCAAGAACATCGTGTTAGTACAATACCTTTGGGATGTGGTATTTTACTTTTATAATTTCCTGGTACCTATTCAAAATGCAATAAAACCATAATTCTATTACTTCCCTAACTTTGATATAGATCGCATTGTGGAAGATTTTAATTAGTTTCTCAGTAATAATTTCCAACAGAATCCATCATCAAGTAGATATTTTGGAAGTACGGAATTTTTGCACTTTGAGATAGGCATCACTAACAGCTTTTAAGAATTCTGTGATTTTTAGATCACGAAAATTAGCAGCTCATGTTTCATGAAGAATGTTGTAGAACCAAATTCTGATAATTTGATTATTCCTTGCAAATGGGGTTACGAGTACAATCGTACGGAAATGTCTTCATCGATAATATCGGAATGGGACCTTGTATGCGATAAAAGCTTTTTGGTTGAAATTCTCCAGATGTGTGTCATGCTTGCCATACTTCTAGGTAAGGAAAAACCTATGTTTATTGCGAATTTCTGTCAAAAAATACCAAATGCTAGAAAATTAACAGAAAAGTAGAAAACGACGACGTGTTGCCTGGTGAAACCAAACGTCTCTTTCCAATGTGCTTCTTTATCATATCCCATCCTTCTAATATCATGCTTTCACGCTTACTTCAAACCTACTTCATACTTTCTTGGCGCTTCTATTTTTATCGCTTCCATTCTGTACGTCTGGTTTACACCACCCTCCTTTTCTGCACTATTTTAAGTTTCCCTTTTCCTTCCGTCTTTCTTTCACGATATCCAAATCTCTTCCGCATTTCACACTCTGCAGTTTCAGACGATTCCAAATTGGACTTTAAACGAAAACGAGAGATACCCATACATAAACGGAAGTAAATGATACAAATGGTATTAGCAATAAATTTATTGTTTAGTAATTTGTAATAAAAGTAAGCAATTTACCTATATAGCAGAATAAAATGAAGGGCCTTACGAGTTACAAATACAAAACAGCTAACATTATTTTAATGCATAGACTGGAAGGGATATATTTTTTGTACTGTAATCGTTACCTGGTGTGAACATTGAAGGAACACGTGCCCCCCTCCCCCCCTCTTTCAAATTGAGCTTATGATATTCACTTCGTATACCTCCTTCCTCAAGTCGTCCTGTCTTCCCTTCATTATTACTTCACGATTTCGTTACATATTTTCTCTCTCGCTCTTTTCATCATGTCTACTTTGTTCGCACATCCTGTTATAAAAACTGTTTCGTTTAAGAATCCTCTCCACCCGCTCTATTTCTTAATTCCTATTTGCTTTACACCTCCTTCAAATGGACTTTGTGTTTGCTTCACTGCTTCAATTTTAATGTCTCCTTCCCAGGTTTTCCACCTTCAAGTTGATATTCTTCTCGCCTCATTGATGCAGGTTTTGTCACGACCGACGCCTCGTTCATTCACTTAGTCGCACTTGTTTCGTACCTCCTCAACACCTTTCCCGACTTCGTGTCCCCTCCTTACGCGACCGTTCCTTTCTTCGACGACGATTCTTTTACGTATCCTTTCTTTACGCTTTTTTTTACTTACACTCTTTCCAATTTCAATTGCTTTTAATTGATATTCATCCTTGCATTCTTTCAGGTCTGTCCAAACCTCTTTCGCCCTTGTCTTCCTGAGATCTTCGCACCACTTCACTTTTCTTCCACGCTCCATTCATCAAGTTTATTTCCTTTGGGATTCTTTGATGGTTCCTAATTTTACACTTTTTACTTTCCCATCTTTCACCTAAGTCTTCTTCACTCTTCTATTACGATTTTTTGTTGAATTTTAATCCATAACCACTAAGGAAAGGGTGTAGGTACGTAAAACTGTTATCTAATTTATAGATAACTTCAATGATCAAGGTAAAAGCTATTACTCAAAAACGGAATCTCACATACATGGCTACTGCTATTGTTCTTTTTCTTCTAGAAAAATAACGCCGTTGAAGGCCAGACACAAATAACAAAGTTCCTTCGACATGTTTCTCTTTCATTACTCCTTCTGGGCTCCTTACCCAGCGCATCTTTTGCTCTCTCCTATATTCCAGGCCTCCGCGTTTCCTTCAAGTTCTTTAAATTTATTTGTTTCGCGCTTCTTGTTCGTCTTCCCTTTTCATACTCTTTTCTCTCAGACCATCCTCCTTCATATTCACACACTACGGTTTTCACACGCTCCCTTCATTCTTTTTTAGGTGTCCTTTCCCAGAATATTCTCTCTTCGCTGACTTTTCTTCTTCCATTTCTTCCTCCTTGACCTGCTTTGTGCTTTGTCTACGCTTTTTTATCCCTTCTCACCTCCTTCTCACTTTAAGTCCTTAAACACTTTCATTTGGAATATGCTTGATTTCTTGTTATTGGTAACTAATTACAGTTTGTAGCTATGGGATCATTCTAGTACGCAGGAAAGCAGTTAATTTTTTTGTACCCTGTATACTGTTATCCATTTTTTGTGTACTTACCTATACTAAAATTTTAAGAGGCAGAGTTGTAGCATTCCCTTAACTAATTAGCAAGTTATATTTAATTACATATATAAGGATAATACGAAAGGACATTCGTAGGTATGCCAATCTTTGGACCGGCTGCAGATAAATTCGGACGTAAAATTGTTCTAATGACTTCTATTTGGTTACAAACACTCTTCGGATTGGCATCAACACTTTCACCGTGGTTTCCCGGATTTTTCATTTTCAGGTTTCTCTCGTCCCTATCTACCAGCGGTATAATGATCGTCAGTTTTGTAATGTGCATCGAGGTGTCAAGCAACGCTTCCAGATCGACAATTATTGTCCTCCACGGAATACCGTTTGGATTAGGTTTTAGTTTAATGGGACTATTGGCTTATTTCATTAGAGATTGGAGGGTATTGCTGATAGTCCAATACGTTTGCTGCGCATTGTACTGCTGTTATTATTGGTACATCGTTTCATTGACGGGATTCTATCACTTCATTCGCCTTTTTAGGTTTGTACCAGAATCGCCTCGATGGTTACTGGCAGTTGATAGGAAAGAGGAAGCTGTCGAAATATTAGAGCATGCTGCAACGGTTAATAGAAAAGACGTATCGGCGATTAAGAAAACGATTGATGCTTATCACTACGTCGATCCAGAGAAACATATGATTCTAAAGGCATTAAAAGTATATCCAAAGTTTAGAGGACGGACGTTGATTTTATCATTGAATTGGTAAGTAATTATTTCTTGTATGTCAATAAATGACATCACATTGTCAGGCTAGCAATTGGATGTCTCTACTTTGGCCTTTATCAGCTCGCTGGAACGCTTAGTGAAAATATCTACGTATCTGTGTGTATCACGGGATTGATATCCATACCCAGCAATTTAATCGCCGTGTACATAGTACGGGGATGCGGTCGAAAGTTGGCCATGGCGTTGTCATCTTTATTCACGGGCGTATGCATATTTGCATCTATGGCGACAGTGTATAGTAATTCCTTCTGGGCCTCAGTTTCCTTTTTTGGATGCGCTATGTTTGGACTAATTGTAAGATTCTAATAACCTTACCAACAATCACTATACCAAGTTTTAGATACTCTATTCGGTTGTGCATCTCTTTACAGGAGAATTATATCCAACAACTCTAAGAAACAGTGCATCAGGATTGAACATGATGTTCGCCAAAGTAGGAGGAATGGTGTCGCCGTTTATTATTGGTACCGGTGCAATATTCTGGTACGTTCCATTTGTTACATTTGGAACAGTGGCGATGCTAATGCCCTTACTGTTAATTCCATTGCCGGAAACTAAGAATATGGAACTGCCGGAGTTAGCGAATGATATAGAAAAGCACGGTACATAAATATACCTAATGCTATGGAGAGTTTGTTGTTTTATTTCAACCGTCAGTAACTTTTGCGGACATTAAATTCCCTAAACATTATTTCTAAGAGTATGATAGCGGCGTAAAATAATGCCAACATAATTGAATGATGCCACTATTAGTCAATGGGTTGTTTAATTTAAAAATGGATCATTTTGCGGATGTTCCTTCCTTATTTTAAATCATACAGGCACAAGGGCTAAGAGGAGAAAGCTGCGAAGTTTAAGTTTATGCGGGAGAAGAATGATGGCTTTCAATAAGTGTATGTGTTTGATTTGCAAATATAGATAAATGTATGCTTTTATTTTCCCTTGGAATTACTGTAATTAGCATAGGATGTAGGGTAATTGTTTTGTATTACTATCTTGTCAATTTCTTAGGGCGTTTGCTTTTATCAATTTGAATTTGCAAGGTTTTGCGCAAAGTTTGAAAGTTGACGGTCGTATTTAGGGGTAAGTAGCTTTGTTTATTTGTTATAGATGGCACATACGTAGAAAATATTTTCTCGTGTAAGTAGAAGTTTAATCGAATGTCGCTCCTGATACGAATTATGATGCAATCGTTTTAGGAAATTACCATTTAGCTTAGCTAAGGTTAGTGTATCTTCACTACGGGGTGGATTTTATTGTATGTTAAAGGGTGAAGATTAGTATAGGGTGTTAATCCAATTTGGGCGTATTATGGTTTTGGTTACTTAAGTCGTTAAAGCGGAACTTTCCACAGATGTGGGTGGATTTCATTTGAGATTAATATACATGGTATTTAGATAATTTAGAGTATCTGGGAGATTTTATGTACGTAGTGCTATATAACTTTTCACAGGTATTTTATGTTTTAACCATCCGCATGAAGGTGGCTTTGGAATTCAAATACTATATTTGTTATCGGCTTGTATGATGGGTTGGGTTTTTTTTTGCTTTATGTGGGGGGTGTTTGTGTCGCTACAATGGGCAGGCCATGCATATTATTTGACCTTGCAGGTTATTGGAATACTGGAATACTTTGTATGCGAGTATTAAATTTCCGTATTATACAGGTTGTGTCGTAGCCAAAGGCAGGCGCCTGAACTAAAACCCCTATATTATTGTTATGGTACGACCGGTTGTCCTAATGCAGTCGGCTAAGCTCTTAACCATAAACAAATATGATATATTATGTGTATTTTTCATACTGTGCTGAAAACTGTTATAATGCGAAATTGTAAGATGCAATAGAAAAGAAGTGAGAAAGTAAATGAGTACATGTCCTGAAACGTTTTCAATAGTACTTTTTTCCTTCCTTGTAATCAAAAAGTCCCTAGAGCTATTCTCGTGCAATTAAGAGAGGGATCCTGATTTGAATTGGATTTGATTTTGTTGTTATTAACGTTTTTAATTAAATTTCACTATCCCTATTTCTTGTGTTTTATTTATGTCGGCCGATCCTTAAAGCGATAGATACAAATCCCGTAGTAACTCGTTACACAAAACATCGTAGGCCCTATCACTAGACAAGATTGGTAGTTGACGATCATGTGGCATGGGTTTCAGTTAGTTTTATTTGCATTGGTAGTTTTAACTTTTTTTTAAAAGATAGGATGTCAATCCATTGTATACCTACTGCAAGCCTTCGACTTACAGCTCAGAGCACCAAGTAATCCAAAAAGATTTGCAAAGTTTTGCAGTAGACTTGCGTTTTTCGGAGGTTGGTTATACAGAGTACGCCAAAAATCTTAAACGGTTAAATATCTCGGTTTTACTCTAGTAAAAAAATGGTTCATAACTAACCGAGATATGCGACCGTTCAGAGACTTATGGTGCACTAAGGGTCGGTTGTATCATGATAGTTCTTCCCAGTTCACTTTGCGGGCAAAAGAACGCAATTTGATTGGTTCAAATGTGAAAAGTATCCAATCAAGTTTCATAATCATGCAAGTCAAGTGCACTGCAGTTGAACTATCTTGGCACAATTGAGACTATGCGTTTATAGTGCGTTCCAAATGAAATTAATAGTCTAATAGTTGGTCTTCGTGAAAGTAGTCAAGTCATTAAAAACACTAATGAGTATTATTATCGTGTTTCGACGGTTTTTTTCAGGGTTTTGTAATTTCAAGTTCGTACCTCTTCTCATGATTTGCGCTCTTTCTTATTGAAAGCATCAAGTTTCGAACTAATAGCTTGGTAAGTACTTCGCTTGCATCAGGTAACATATTATCAGCAGCTTCCATGAAATCGATCCTTGTGTGCATTACTGATTGCCTAACGTCGGGGACAATACCTAGCGTTAGTTTCTTTTAGTTCCCTTGTGCTATATAACTTGGGCCACCCAGTACTATTTTCTAGTGCAATGGCAGAGACTTGCTAGAACTAGACTGCGCCTTTGAATATATATTTCAAAGACTGCGCTTAACGTATCTAAGGTGTTGTCGACACAGTATGCAACACACAATGCACTGCGGGGCAAAAATCGCAGAGATGATGTGCAATGTAATGAAATAATCTGTTATTTTAGATGTTACATTCATTAATCATTTTCGTGATTAGTTCGAATTAGTAAACAGATAAATTTCTGTTGAGAATAAACCAATAAACTTAGGTTACCTCGTGCGTATCAACATGTACTCTGTAGATAAAATTTTAAATAATATGCAGATTTCCGACGGATAAAAGTATAAAGGGCCAATGGATCAGAGCCATTCAAAAAGAAAAATTTACTCCTACCATAGTGCATCTGAGGGGAATGAAGCCGATTTTCTAGAAAGGTACCGACGAAGGTGTTAAACAATAATGCAATACCGAGCGTTTTCGACTTTCCCATTCACTTAAAATAACGTAGAACTATTATTCTACATCCTTTACCAGCAAGATAACGGCAGTACCTATTTGCCTATTAGATACAGACGGAACTAAGTACTTACTGGTACTAAGTATATTTCAGGTTTTGTTCCAAGAAAAATAGCTAAGTCTGTTAAATGTTCCATATCTGCAGATGCGATATTCGCATCAGAGAGTCATTCAAAGCTTTTAACTAGAAAAAATCTTGGAGGATTGCTGCACGTATCAAGCGATGCATTAAAAATTTGCCAAATTGCTGAAAATGTGTTCAGGTTTTTAAACAAAATGGTTATCAGCAGTCTAAGAAAAATAAATAACAGTTACAGCCCATTTGGGTCTTTGGATAGGCATATAATATTGAATCAAAATCCGCTAAATAATCATATCTTACTACTTACATCTTTAGTTTTGAGAGTATATTTTCCCATGCGTGTTCACCACCAAAATACACATATAAATCAAATTAGGACTAGAGTAAGGCAGTAATATACCAATTTAGTTCAAATAAAATACCAATAAATTCGATTCAAACAGTTAACAGTTATATGTTATCTTTTTTTGCTACGAAAATCTAGAATAAATATGCCAAAGCAAACTGCGAGAACGTACTTCCGCCCCGCGTTGAACAGTTGGTTGCCTATCCTATCTTGACAACAGGCGCTTATAGTAAAATCTACGTTACGCGCGGTCTAGTTATAACAAGTCTCTGTGCAATGGTAAGCAAATTTCGTTGATGCTTTGACGATGGCTGGGGTATAAATTGTTTGAACAGCGAAGAAAAGGCGCTTATTGTACCGTTTCGCGAAGCCTACGTTTGTCTTATGTGAAGATTTTTGGAAAGTTTATTGTAGCTGCGTTTGCTGAAGTTACGTCAGTTTATTCATCGTCTATTGTTATTTGAAAGTCCGGGAACGTTTGGATTACGCCGGCATCGAGGAGTTTAAGAAGGTCTTTGGAAGGAGTTTGTTGAAGGGAAAGGAGCGGTACAATAATGCCATTTTAGCAGCGAGATTTCGTTTGCGTTGTATTTTACATTGTCTGGACATGGCGGAACGTTTGTTTAACGCCAGCATCGCCGAGGAGCTGTTGGAGTAGCTGTGTCAGCACATAGCTGGGGCTGTGTTTGTGTTTTTGTGTGCATCGGTCGTTTGTGCATTTGTAAAAAGGATTAGCACCGTGAGTACTGTCATTTTTGTTTTAATTTAATTGTAAGAATCGCCGTCTGAGACGGTTTTGTGTTTCAATTCGTGTAAGTCATTTTTTCAGATTTTGTAAATTTAGCTTTGTAAAATTTTTTTTTGTCATTTATTATTTGTGTGTGTCAAAGTAAAGGTCAAGGATTCGTGTTTCTCAAATGTTAAGTTTTCTTTTTTATCCCGAGTGTGAAACGAGTTTGGTAACGTAAAAAGGTTTGGATCATCGGTGGGACTTAAATTTCATTCCAGAAGTCAGTTAACAAGGGATTATTTTATTTGGAATTTAAGGGAGGTATTAGCCACCGACTGGCGAGGTTGCTACCCCTTGTCCGGACGAAAAAAAGGGGTAGTCGGACTCATTTTACGGGCCCTGAGATTTGTGTTTTAAAGAGTTTTTGTGAGATTGAGCTAACAAGGGTAAGTTGTGTGGGTAGTTTCAGTCTTAGGAAGTTTTCACAACAGTATATTTTTGAATTTAAGTAATAAATAATACATATTTTGATTTTTTGTGTTAGGAATTTTGGAAAAACGTTTACAAGACTACTTTTAAAAACCTATTAAGGAGTTAATTAGTTCTTCTATGTGCGGATCGGAGGCACCGTTGCGGAGAAGAAATGTAAATAGGAAGGCGAATTTTTGAATTTTTGTTTTACTGGGAAAAAAAAGAATTTTACGCTGATGGACAGTTGAACACATGCCTTAAATTGGAGCAAAAATTTCCTTATTTTATTTTGCTGGAATTTCACATCGTCTACGGTTTAGGTTTTGATTTTATGCGGTGGGATGACCACTTATTGTTGATACCATTCTGATTATGGTAACTTTAGACGTCTCCTAGAATATCGGTTCAATTAGAGAAAATGGTTTTATAGTATAATTAGCATACATGTACTTTCTTTCTCAAGAATGTCCTAGCTTGATAGGTATTAATAATTAATATCTAAATTGTCCATTTCCTAGAAAGTCAAGTATTTTTGTTTTTATAACAAAT